TCGAGAAATGGCGTGCTAGGACCTCTAAAGATGGTGTTGAACCAGGGGAGACTCCTAGAACCCACTGGAAAATGTTGTCACAATTGCGCTTTTCAATTGAAAACAGACATCATCTTTAGAGAGATTTGTCATCTTTAAAGACTTCTGCACGCCATTTCTCGACCCGCTCTTTCATTTGAGCCAAAAAAAACATTCATATCTTGTGTGACATCTCTGCTACAAACTCTGGTCATCAACTCTGGTTTTCAGTTGAAATTGGAATTGTTAATTTACACAATAATAGGAGTACATTGACGATTTTTTCTTAACTCGCAAAAATCTTCAAACAATTTGCTACCGGTTGGTGATAAAATTTTTTGGAAATAATGAAATAGGGGGGATAACGCCTTTTTTTTCAGGGGTGATTTTTCAAAAATTTATTTTAAAAAAAGTACTAACTAGTAAATGTTTTTTATTAGCTCGCAATTTTCTTCAAAACTACTTCAATGAGGAAAAAAATAAAAATTTGGAATATCTATACATGAGGGGCTAATTCATCGGATCTGACGAAAAGAGAAGGTGCGAGTGTAGACTGGGTACATGAGGACCTCTGAACACACATCGGACAGTTATCATCCCCCAGACATTGAAACTAATGATCTAAGCTCCTTGGAAGAGTGCCAACCACACGTTATAAGATAGTTTTTCTGATTTGCGAGCTCGGGGGAACGAAAACTCCGGGAAGGAGCCTCCAGGGATGTTAAAAACTCAATACCCAGGGTCCCTGTGTCCGGAAGATGACCCAAAATCGACGAAAACACGTGGAAAACTAATTGAAACTATAAAATCAAGTTCATCGACCAGATAAACTCGACTTTTGCCAGCCAAATTACGAACAAATCTCATTCTGTGATTTATCGAGATTTTTTACGACTTTAACACAGTTCTTAGTTGTAAACAAAAGTATTCCAATAGGTTTAGAGCGATATTTATTGTTACTGATACTTCTTTAGTGTGAAGATGTAAATAGGGTTCGTGTAAATAGATTTTTCGAAGTATTTAGTTTTAATTTTGATGTACGTTTGGAATTTTTGTACTCACTGGTACTTGTGCTGGACCTCTCGCAGTTGCTGCTCAGTTCCTATTGTTTGCTGCTCCTTTGAGATTATTTCACGTTCTAGAGCTGCTATTCGTTCGGTTTTGTTGTCCAATTCCATCTGGGGAGGAGTTGAATTAGAAATTAGTGAAAATTTATTGACAATGAGTGAAATCAAATGAACAAATTAATTCTATTCGTTTGGAATTATTTTTTCCATTTAAGTAAAATTTAATAAAATAAAATAAATTGATGCATGAATGAATTTTTTTCATTTGAGTGATTTGTTTCATTCAATCAAAGAATATGAGCATGAAAAAATTATTAATCACCAGTAATTTATCTTTCTCCTGATCCAATCGTGCCATATTAACACGAAGGGTATTGATCTCCTGCTTGAGCTCCTTCACCTGATTATCCAACTGCGACTGCTGCTGCTCCAGACACCTATTTCGCTCCATAGCCTTCGACAGTTCACCCTCTGATTGACTGAGTTGACTCTGCACGTCACCCAGTGCTTGATCAGTTTGATCTTGCAGTGCCCTGCGTACAAATATGACCCAGTTATTTCATTGGGTATTTGAATTCAATCATTTGTGATCGAGAAGAATTTTCATTGGAAAACAATCTCAAAATCTTCAGTCACAATTCGCAGAAATTAACTTAGACATCAAATATTACGAAAAAATTCCCAATTATTTCTTTCCAACTATTTCTATAAATTGAAAAAAATAACAAATGATAATTATTTACTTTTTAAATTATTATTGAAAGACGAAATTGACAACTTAATAAGTAATGGTAAAATTTTCTAAAAATAATCTCCAATTACTCAACGTTTGAAGCCATTCAACGCAATTTTAAAAAAATGGAAAATCTAAGAACAGAATAATTTCAATTTTTCTACTCGGAAGCACCTGCAGTGGACCCAAACGAATATGTAAATTTTTGGTAACGAATTAATTATAATTTATTTGGGCACTACTGTTTCCTTCTCCCTTCTGAGATGATGTAATTACCTCAGTTGGAAATACTGAGTCCTTTGGCTGACCAACTCCTGCTTAGTCCTCCTGAGCTCTTCCCTGGCCTCTTCGAGGTGCTCCTCAACCCCAGCAATGGCTGTACGTCTCGACCCCTGTGCAAGCAAAAGTTCTTGCCTCTCCCTCTCAATTTCCTTCAATCGACTCTCCAACTCTCGCACGTTATCCCTCAGTCGACGTTGCTCATACGTGTGGGCCTCAGTGGCCATCTAATTTTTACGTGCATTCAGTTATTTGTACTAGAGTTATTGTAATGTTAAGTTGATTATGATATGCATTGAACCTAATGATCTAATAAACATGCAGTTCTAGCGTGCACTCTTTTTTAGGAATAAACTCCTTCATTTTTATGATTTTACCTTCAATCTTTCCCTCAGTATGTCTCGTTCTTCCATCAAACGTTCGACGTCACTTCGTGCTGTGTCTCTTTCGCGTTCTAATCGTGAACATGAAACCTGAAAACAACGTCAATTAATTTTAATTAATTTAATTCCTTGATTATATGAATTGAGAAAAATTGAGTAGTGAATTCAATAGTGAGATAAAACGAATCTTCTTAAGTCATCGATATCTCCTCACCAAATGGTACAATTTGAACGAGTCACATCTCATTTTAAAGAATAAAAAAATACCTTCAAAATGAGGAAAAAATCGTCCAATTTCACTCTGCCAATCTCGAGTTATAGCCATTTAAAAACGATTCATTTCACCCCCTAAGTAAAATTGAACTTTCCTTTACATTTTTGCATTTATCTCGTGAACGCATGGTTTCCCGAGGAATTAGCATAAGACCTTTTTTGTAGGGGATAAAATTTCCAACAAAAAATGTCTACTAACATTTTCTCCTCACCTCACTCATTGCGAAGATAATTTCATATTTGAAATCACGTTCTCATTTTCTTGTTCTTTTAGGGGTTATTCTCTAATGAATATGAATGTAAATTTTATTGTTTATAGCAATTACCTTCGATCCCCCAGTTTCTGGTATTGATGACAGTGGCAGACAGACACAGGGCCCCACCGATCTGCACTCATTACAAACTTTACAAGGACTGGATCGATTTCTGCACCCCTGTAGTCTCGACTCCAGCTCAAACTTTTCCCTGCACAACTCCCTCTTCTCCCTCTGCAGTTCAGTCACCCTCATCTCCTTTTCATTCAACCGATGCTTGAGATCGCAAATCTGGCTCCAAAGTTCATTATCAGATCGTGAGTCATTTTTCAGTCTCTCCATCTCCTTCCTGCACTGATCAGTCTCCTTGCGAAGTTGATCGACCATTATCTGCAGTTCAGCAATCTTCCCATCTTTATCTTGAATCAATTCCCTCATCAACTCCGAACCAGAGGTTCGTTTCTCCTGAACAGGTGGTGAGAGCGATCTCCTCTGAACCTTTGAACCTAAATGAACCCATTGATGAACATCTCAAGCGGTCATTTCGATTTTTTCAAAGAGGAAAGAAAGTGGAAAATGAGCTTTAACCAAAGTACCATTTTTTTTCTTAGAACCTTTCCCCAGATTTTGATTAATCTTATCACCTTTGTCCTTGGACCGTCTAGAACTACTGTTATTAATGCCCTGAGGACTCTCACTGCTCATTTGCTTCTTCAGAGACTCATTCACACCCTCCAATTGCGCAAGCTCATGCTTCTGTGTTTCATTAAGTCGAGACAATCTTTCAATCTCTGCATTGAGTGTCTCCTCTGGAAGAGTGAAGGTCAGTGCAGAGGAGAATGTTAAAGGAATTGTGCAGAAAGAAGTGAAAAGGGTAATTAAACGTGAATTATTTACAACTTGTTGGAGATTGAATTATCTTTTCTACGAGTGGTTTTTTAATATTTACTCTACCGCCACTTTATAAAAAATGAAATGACTAAATAAATAAATAAATGAATGAATGAATAAATAAATAAATAAATGAATAAATAAATAAATAAATAAATAAATAAATAAATAAATAAGTCTCCTATTCATACCTATCAACGTCAGTTCATTAATCCTATCAGTCAGCTTCTTCTTCTCCTCAGTAGAACTGTCCACGACCCTTTGCAGATTCCTCTTCTCCAGCCTACAGGCCTCCAGATCAGCCCTGAGCTCCTGTGACGCCCTCTTCTCCACCAGCAACTCATTCTCCAGATTTCTGACCTTCGTCAGGGCAGTCTCCAGCCTCTCCTGGAGCTGACTGACCCTCCGATTATTCTCCTTAACTGTGGAATTGCAGTCAGCCTCGACAGCCAATGCAATATGATCGATATCCCTCAACTCCTTCTCCAGCTCCTCGTTCCTCTCTGCCAGCTTCATCGCCTGGGACATGGCGTCGTGCTGCTTCTCCAGGGCCTCCTTCAACTGCTCTTCCAAATTCGACTTCACCTTCAAGTGAAATTCCGTGATTATTCATCAATTGCGATGGGACAATCACTTTCATGACTTGAATATTTCAAGAATTCTAAAATATATTTTTGGAATTTACGGGGATTTCATGGAATCTCTAAAATTTCTCAAAGATTTCGAAGGATTTCAATGAATTTCGGAAAATTTCAGAGAATTCCAAAGGATTTCAAAGACACGCTGATAAATTTCATATGGTTTGAAACGAGGAAAGTAGAATTCCAAGATTTTGGACAGTTCATATTTTTTGTGATGAGTTCAAAATAAGATTTCTGGATGAGTTTTACTCGGAATTCAAGTAATTTCAGACAATTAAAAAGAACAATTCAAAGAATTGCGGAGAATTTCATAGAATTCCAAAGGATTTCAAAGACACTATGAGAAAATGCATAAACTTTCAAACGATTGGAGTAGAATTCAAAAATTTTGGTCAATTCATATTTTTCATGATGAATACAAAATAAGATTTCTGGATGAATTTTGCTCAGAATTCAAGGAATTTCATGGAATTAAAAAAAACATCAAAACATTTCAAAGAATTTCCGATAAAATTCCAATTCTCAAATTCTACTTGAGATAATTTTTCTTGCTGTCCTCAGGGGGCGACTTCGCCCCAGGGCACGAATACAAAATATTTCAATTAATCACCTGCTGCAGGACCTTGACCTCATTCCAGCATCCTTCACCACCCCTGGCAGCCTTTCTGCTCGAATTACACTGGACACAACTAGCCTCAGTCTGCCTGCAACTGCAGTCTTTGGAGACAGCCAGGTAGGGCCTCCCCCCCTCCAGCATCTTCCTCAACCTGTTGATCTCCTTTCCCTTGAGTGCCAGCTGATTCTTCAAGGTGTGCACATTATCGTACTGCAGTCCCAGTTCCCCCTTCAGCTTCGTCACCTCGAGGCTCAACGCAGCTATCCTCCTGTCCCCCATGGCCACGAGGTCCAGAAGCTCTGGCTGAACCCTGCTGAGACTCCCCAGGGATCCTTTCAGCAGCTCTGGGGTGAGCACATCCCCATCGATCACAGGCTTCCTCAGGGGAAACACCGATTTTCGTTTTGCTGAGAGACTGGAGTTGCTGATTGTCGGTTTACAGCATTTTCCCAGGAGCTCTTGGATCCTCTTGGACTTGCTGGAGGACTCCACCTCGAGGTCTTTTATTCGCTTGAGATTCCTGGAGGAGGCCAACTGGAGATCGCTGCACTCTGACTCCAGCTGGTTGATTTTTCTCTTGAGGTCTTTGGTCTGCTTCAGGTGATTCTCCTTGGATTCTGTCAGCTCTGCGTGGAGTTTATTGCACTCTTGGACTAGCTTCGCGTTGTCACACTTGTAGGGATCCACTGAGAACTCTTGGGGGCCTGAGATCTTCGTAGTTGCAAAGAGAATTTTGTTGTTAGGAGGAAAGTAGAGGAAAATAAAGGGGTTGGAGAAAATTTTTTTTCTGTTGAAATGTCAATATTTCTTGATTAAATAGCATGATCTCGACGAATCAGGTCTCATTTTTAAGGTTAAAAAAGTATGTTGGGAATGAAAAAAAAGTTGGGCAATTGCACCCAGCTGATCTGGAGTTATTCGAGATTGAACAGAGGAGTTATCCCACTTTTATCCCACTTAATTGTAAAAATCCGCCCTGGAAAGAGCTTTATCGTGTAGATTTAATCAATTACCTCGATTTTATCCTCCGCAATAGCCTTGAAATGCCTCAGACTTTCAGTTGTTTGAACCAAATCCCCCAATAATCTCTCCACAAGTGACAGTGCATCCACTGGAAGTGCCTGTCTGTACCCCAGATTCTCCAATCTTTTCCTCAGTATTCTGTACCTCGAGGTGATACTGTGGCAGTCGTCAATCCCCACTTGCTCACACATTTTGATGACTAATTATTTGACTAATAATTAAAATAGTCCTTGATTTTTGTGTATTTACAATTCGAACAGTCATAACCTCACATTTTATCAAATTGGAGGGAAGAGAAATCTATTTTTTTGTGACGTCTGATCATAAAATCTTCATCACTCGAGTGAATTCCCCTGAACTAGCACTAATTAATTAAAAAATCACAATTTTCAAGCATTGTTTGAAGGTGTAAACACTCGCTGCGGCATTTCACGGAACGTAAACAACTTCAAATACCACTGGGTGCATTTTTAACGGATGTTTTGGTAATCTCCCTCCCCCACTCTTTTTTTATCCATCGTGTTTGATCGTGTTGTCACCCTAAACACTTCGCAAGGGATTCAGAACCAATTTTGGATATTTTCCACGTGACTTTGATAGAAAAATAAGTTTTTAAACTGAAATTCTTGTTAAATCGTGTCGTTTGCAAGTGGAGAGTGGACGGAGCAATGATTTTACAGTGATTTAGTGGAGATTGTAGGCAATTGTAGGGTCGTTAGAGGTTAGAACCTCTAAAAATTGGGATTTCGGCAGATTCGGGAGAGATGGCACCCACCAGGAACACGATAATCGTGGAGAGGCTGTCCTCAGTATTCTCCACCCCCGAAAATAAAGAGGATCTCTCCGAGGTAATGAATGGAAAATTGAAAATGGTAACAACAAGTCGTAAATAAATGGAAGGAATAATGGATGAATAGTTCAGTAAATAAAAGAAAGGATTATAAATTTTTTCTTGCAATAGTGCAACTGAAATGAAGCGTAATAAATCGAATGACTAGTGGAAGAAATTGAAGTTATGACAGACAAATTCTCTAAAATTCTTGAGGAATTTCTAGAGATTTTACGAAGCCCAAAAAATATTTCATAATCTTTGAAATATCGAAATCTTGAGTAAAAATAGAAAAGTCTGTCAATCCCTTGAAATACTGAGAAATATTTTAGAATCGTTCCAAAGTTGAAATCCTCTAAAAACCTCTTTTCTTAAATTTTTTGAAGTCTGAGCATTTCTAAAGATTCTACGAACCTCAAACAATATTTCATAATCTTTGAAATATTAAAATCTTGAATAAAATTTTTTTAAAGTTGAAATCTGAGAAATATTTTAGAATCGTTCTAGAGTTGAAATCCTCTAAAAACTTCTTTTCTTCAATTCTCTGAAATTCTTTGAAGTTTGAGCATTTCAAAAGATTTCCCGAAACCCTAAAAATAATTTCACAATCTTTAAAATATTGAAATCCCAAATAAAAATTGACAAGAACCATTAAATCCCTTATAAATAAAAAAAACCTTCAAATTCCTCGAAATCCTAAGAAATATTTTAGAATCCTTCGAAAGTCGAAATCCTAAAACCCTCTTCCTAAATTCTCTAAAATCCTTTGAAGTCTGAGCCTTTCAAAAGATTTCCGGACGCCCTAAAAATAATGTCATACTCCTTGAAATATTGAAATCTTGACTAAAAAAATTAAAAAAATCCCGCCAAATCGCGAAAAAACATTTCCTAATCCCTTGCAATATCGGAATCCCTCCTAAAACTGTTCGAAATTCCCGAATGACCGTTCCAACTCTCTCCCACCGCAGGTATGTGGGACGATATCCTCAGACATCCTGGCAGGTTCGACAAAGCTCTGCGACGTAGTAGAACAACTAGGAGAATTCCTCACAAGTACCGACATCAGCCTGCGTGAGAATGGGGTCCGTTCGCTCTCCACAATAATCCAAAAGCTCCCTCAGGACTTCCTCAGCCCGCAGGAGCTCGAGCTGCTGACGTCGTTCTACTGCGATCGCCTGAAGGACCACCACAGCATCATTCCCTCAGTGATCCTGGGACTGCTATCCCTCGTCCAGATGACGAATCTCCCTGCTGACGCACCAGGTAGACTCGTCCACACCCTGGCGCAGCACGTTCGCTGCCAGTCTGAGCTCCAGGAGACCCGCAGGAACATTTACCTCATCTTCCAGACCCTGTTGGACACGCGAATCGACGCCCTGAAGGCGCTGGGCCCTGACTTCGTCTACATAGTGATATCTTCGATGGATGGGGAGAGTGATCCCCGCAATCTCCTGCTCCTCTTCGGAATTCTCCCAAAATTCATGAAGGAATTCCCTCTCGGGCACCTAACCGAAGAGATGTTCGAGGTGATTGCCTGTTATTTTCCAATCGACTTCACGTCAGGAGGAAAAGAGGGTAAAGGAATCACGAGGGAGGACCTCTCCAGAGGCCTCGAGAGGTGCCTGTCAGCCCTCCCCTCCTTCTCCGACTCCTGCATTCCGCTGTTGCTCGAGAAATTAGACTCCAGTCTAAAAACAGCAAAGCTGGACTCTCTGTCCCTGCTGTCCACTAGCTGCTCGACATTCGGGGTTGCAGGTCTCAAGGAACACCTGGACGAGATCTGGATAATGCTGAGACGTGAGGTGATGCCTGGGAGCGATCAGGACGTGAGGACAATGGGGCTCCAGGCCATCACTGACGTCTCAAGAGTGCTGTCAGGGGACCCAATCGTCTCCGAGAAGTTCGTGGGGAAGATCCTAACAGACACCAAGTCCTCCTTCTGCGACGTTCAGTTGAGTCTCTTCTGGCCAGCTGAGAAGCTCCTGGAGGCCGTCGCCAAGGGGGGAAAGGAGAGCTGCATTCACGTCCTGAGAGCTGTGATCCCACTGTCTCTGGGGCAGTACTCCACGAAGACCAGGACTGCTGACAAGATCAGCCTCATGGAGACGTTGAACAGTTTCATAAAGATATCTGGGGCCCATGGGTTCAAGATATCTGATGTGCCTGAATTATCCTGGACGGATATACCTAATTTGTACTTGAACGAACTTCACGAGGGGGAGAATGCGCTGAAGGCGAGGGCTCTGGTGGGTCTGGCTGCTCAAGTCTCCTCTTTATCGGAACCCCATCGTCAGGGGCTTTACGGGAGACTCTGCGAGGAGATCGATGCTGGGGGGGAGGAGTTGGAGGCAGCTTGTCACTTGGTCCTGTCGGTTTATGGGAGAGAACATTGTGGAGAGGTCCAGGGGCTCCTCCAGGAGCGTCTGAAGGTCGATGTCGATGTCCCGGGGAAGCTTCTCGAGAACAGGCTGAAAGCTCTCTCGTCAGTTGCCAAAATTCCGGACCTGGGGGCTGGCATTCTCCCCTGTGTCCTTGGAGTCGCTGTTTCCGGGGGGTTTGAGTCCTCCTCAGCTGCACTGAGGTGCCTCCAGGGACTGCTGCTGGATGAGAAAGGGGAGTTCGATGTTCATAATTACTTGGAGCATGATTGCGGGGCTGTCGAGAGGCTTGTGGAGTCTGTGGGAGATGGGAATGTCGAGAGAATGCGACTGGTCGCCAACATCTGTTGCTTGATTGTGAGGAAGCTGAGGCCTGAGGCCCAGAGGATCGTTGTGGAGAGGCATTTTAGGGGTTTGAGGGCCAGAATTGCTGAGGATATTGTGCTCCTCGAGGGGATTCTCACTCCTCTGGCTCCTGAGGTTGTTGAGACGATCCCAATTGACGTTCTGGAGCAGTTCTTCGAGATCTCTTTGAAGAGTCCTGATGGGGAGTCGAGGTCGTCAGCATGCAGATTGGTTTCGATTTTAGTCAATAAAATCGGGGAAGGGGAGACCCTGGGGAGGCACTTGAGGGTCTTCAGGGAGGTTTTGACGCAGATTCTGGAGGGGGAGAACGGCGGTGGGGGCAAGAGGGCTGCTGTGGTGATGCTCACTTGGCTGACGAAGAGTCTCATCCTCAGGGGGAGCAGGGAGTCCCAGGATTTTCTGGATTACCAGATTAATGTACTGAAGAATGAGGACGTTGGGGAGTTCGCTGGGGAAATGTTCAGGGTGCTTATTGACAGGGGGGAGAGGACCTTGACTGAGGAGAATCGATGTGCTGTGAAGATTTTTTACAAGCAGAGGGTCTTTCAGAGTGTTATTCAACAGAATGGGCAGTTTGAAGGGGCTGCAAGGCAGAATTATCTCATCGCTTTGAGCCATCTGGTGCAGGAGATTCCGGTGGAACTGATGAGCATGCATTTAATGAAGGTTTGTGGACTTTTAGTCATGGGGGGTTTCAACTGCTCAGATTTAAATAGACGCCGAACGCATGAAGTTATTATTAATTATTGTCGTTAATTGAAATGTCTAGTTGAAAAGACTGAGTTCCCTAAACCTCTCAAAACGTCAACGATTCAGACAAAAGATTAAAGAATGAAAAATCCTTTGAAAAAACAACTATTAATACTAAATTCTTGATCTGTTATAATTGCTAATAGAAAAACAAATTGAATCCTTGTACGATATTAATCATTAATGGATTAGTTCAGTGGTTAAATTGTGTTGCATTACGTCGTCTGTTGAAAATATTGTAATTTCACAAAAACTAGTTGATATGTTGTAATTGAAAACTTCAGTTGAAATGACACTAGTTTAAATGTCGCCTAGTTGAAAAGACGTGCCACCGGGAGTTCTTGTTTATTTTGTGGGGATGAATTATTGCAGCGGGTGACGAGAATGACCCCATAGGGAGGTTGAAGAAATCTATTTAGGAAACATTCAGTGAAAATTTTCATTTTAGGGATTTAAAATTTTTTAACATTTTTGTCAATTAAATTGGCGACTCCCCGACATTTCTTCATTGCATATTTTTTCCTCAAAAACTCACTGCATCCCCTTTAGTTGAGGTTTGAATAGACTTTCTTCCCCTAATTTCAATAATTATTTGCACAGATTGTCCCATCTCTCGTGGAATCCCTCTCGATGGAGAGCAACCAGCTCCTCCTATCGACCCTCACCACCCTGGAGCAGCTGCTGAACACAAAACACGACATTTTCATCGAGCAAATCCAGAGCTTCATACCGAGATGTTTAAACCTATCGACCCACCCCAAAATGCAAATAAGGATAGCAGCCTTGAACTGCCTGCACAGCTACTGCAGTTATCCGACGACGATAATAAAAATGTACAAGAACGACGTGATTGACAAATTGTCTGAGACGATTGACGACAAGAAACGACTGGTGCGGAGGGTCGCAGTGAAGACGAGGACCAGGTGGTACCTCGTGGGGGCCTCTGGAGGGCCGGACTAACATCCTCACGAGTAGATTAGGAACAAATTGTGGAACAGCTGTTGTAATAATCCCTTAATGTACAGAAACAGAAAATAACGTGAGGGTTAATTGAATAAAGAGCATTGATTTTATGTAATTGGATTTGCTTTCGCTTCGGACATTGAGGCGGGTAATGCGGTTAGTAGGCGACCAGGATGGGTGATGGTAAGGTCTATCAATTCGAAAAATCACAGTAGAATTTTAATTTCAAGTAAACGACTCGGGGCAAAATTAATTGTGAATTTAAAAGAGTGATTTTAGTCGTCAAAATCACAGATGGGATTGAGTTTTCTTTAGTTTTTTCGATTTTTCAAGTTAAAAGTTGAATTATCTCTATCAATTCAAAAAATACCATTAATATAATCATTAATTTCAAGTGAAAAACTCCAGGGAAAATTGATTGTGGATCTGAAGCAGTAATTTTAGTCTTGAAACTCTGAAATTGCAGTGGATTTTCTTTAATTCTTCATTTTTTCGAAGTTAAAAATTGAATTGTGTCTATCAACTCGAAAGATAACATCAATATAATCACGACTATCAAGTGAAAAACTCCGGGAAAAATTCATTGTGGATCTAGAGGAGTGGTTTTAGTCTCGAAAATCTCAGATTTCAGTGAATTTTCTTTAATTTCTTCATTTTTTCAAGTTAAAATTTAAATTGTGTCCATCAATTTGAACAATAACATTAATACAATCCTGAATTTCAAGTGAAAAACTCCTGGAAAAATTAATTGCAGAGTGATTTTAGTCGTAGAAATAACATTACATTGAATTTTCTCTAAATTTTTCGTTTTTTCAAGTTAAAAATTGAATCATCTCTATCAATTAAAAAAATTACATCAATAAATTCATCAATGTCAAGCAAAAAACTCCTGGCAAAATTGATTGCGGATCTAAAGGAGTGATTTTAGTCTCGAAAATCTAAGATTCCACTGAATTTTCTCTACTTTCTTCAGTTACTTTAGTTGAAAGTTGAATTATGTCTGAAGGTGTTGCGAAAAACGGGGCATATAAGTACGAGGATGGTACGAAATACATTGGTGATTGGAATGGGAGGGGAATGAAGCATGGAGCTGGCTCCTTGATGCTTCCTGATGGCACCAGGTACGACGGAGGCTTCCACAATGGCTTGTGCTCAGGTCTGGGGGTCATTGTGTTTCCTGATGGTGCCAAGTAAGTTCTTTGTACTCCTGAGGCTTACGAAAGCGGTTATTAAGTTGCGGTCAGCTCATTTTCTTGATAGTAGACTTGAAAATAATCCAGCTGAGAGAAAATTTCAAGAACTCTCTTTAGTTGGGACGATTTTCCACAAAATTCTCTGCCTCACGTCTCACTAATTAAATTCCTGGACTAGATGAAGATGCAGAAATAAATATATTGAATAAATGAAGTGTAAAAGGAATTATCATCTGATTTTACTCGAGCCTTCAATAATTTTTTTGCAAGTTGATAGTTAATGAACTTTTATTTGCAATTCGATAAAGATTCGAGGGAGAGTTCATGCAGGGATGGTTTCACGGTCACGGCGTCTTCTGGCGGTCTGACGGAATGAAGTTCGAGGGAGAGTTTCGAGGCGGTCGGATCTGGGGACTCGGTAACAGGGCAACTGATCCAAACATTTTCATAAATTCGCTACAACCTTTTCGCCAGGTGTCAATTGGTTTCTGGGTGCAGGTCTGGTGACTTATGCAGACGGATCTCACGGATTTCCCCGAAACGAGGGATTCTTCCAGGATTGTCGTCTAGTTCGTCGACGAAGGTGTCCCGACGCCATCCAGAAGGCCCAGAAGATCTCGCTTATGGCTAGAGCACAGACTGCTCCGTAGAATGAATTAATTGATTAAACGTTTAATTGTTAATTAATTGTTTGAATGTTTAAACCTCCCAGTGTAATCAATAAATTTGTTTAGAAAATTGAGAAGAATCTTCATATTCATCGATTCATTGGGGTAATCACCCCCATTAAGCATCTGCCTGACAAACGAATAATAAACAATTAATTTTTTTGCACTAATTATTCGTCTTTAGATATACATAATCGATCTGTAATGTATGAAAAATCTCATTCCAATAACTCGTGACTTTTAAAATTCATAGTAGTCTCCCCTTAATTAATTTCTTTGCTAGATTCTTCGGAGATAATCTGCATTCTTCTTTGCATCTTCATTTTTCAGGCGTACTCTCATGTATCACCTACTCCCAGAGTTTCTGTTTCTGTTATACTTTTGTATTTGCTTTGTGGCTTTGCCACTAGTTTTGTACAACATAATGTGCAGCAATAAAAATCAATCAATCAATCAATCAATCATCTGCATATCTGTTCAGTTGTTTATGAGAATCGGGGCCTACCCCAACAAAACGCCACCTGAAGTCATGCTGAGTACGCACTGCCGCCTCCTCCGCGTCTCGCATGTTATCCTGATCCAAACTGATATTTTCTGGACCGCAATATGGCCGCCCGTTGAACTCCAAAGGGGTCGATTGTCGGCGAAATAGCGCCGGGCCCGAGGTTTCGCCGCGCGTCTTTTCAATTCTAATCTACCCACCACCGTGTCCGCCCACCCGAACCCCAATAGACGAGCGATATAATTCCCCGACTCTCGTCCTGTCTAATGACAAATTTCATTATCGAAGATATTTCCAGCGTTTCCTGAGTGCGTTTGCACGGGCAACGTTTCGACTGGAAAATAACAAATTAAAGGAGAAAAAAAAATTCTTCGCGGTTTGCTGCACGCAAAAACCGCATGACAGGTGGTGGTGATGGAGAGGGTAAAACGAGTGAGGGGACATTTAGCAAAAGTGCAACGGACGATTGACCGTTTTATAATGGTGAAAAATAAAATTTGGGGAAAAGAGGGAATACGAGAATTTCAATCGTTTTTATCGTCGGAATAATGATGTCTAGGACCGCCATTTGCCTTCCCGTGTTTATCCCCCTTTATTGAGACTTGGATTTGGGCATTGAAAATCTCGGATTGTATCAGGCGACCAGAAATTGTGGAGAGGTAGCACTTGCAGGAGAGCGAATGAGCTTTTACAGCGAGGCATTTCCATCGATGATTCCAGTTCTTTTTCTACTCTTCGGCGTTGAATAACAGGAAATCATTAAGCGAGTCGATGATTTCGAAGGAAAGTCGGTGGAATTACGGAATTCATGAGCGAATTTAATGAGTTTGAGTAATTGACAGTACAGAAAACATTCTCATTATTTGAGGAACTCGAGGGGTTTATGATATCCTGATACTTGTTGAGAGACATCTGTTGAAATTATTGAGAACCGTGGATGGGAGAATTCCTCGGCTTTCATACTTGCCGGTTACAATTCAAGATTTTCTGGCCCGGAATACGGCCGGACGGTGCGCCATTCAGGGGTTGATTGCCTCATCCCGGAGGAAATAACCGAATTATTCAACTTTTCACTGTTAATTATTGAGTAAAAAAATATACTTCGACTCAAAACCCTTGGAATTTGCTCTGTGATGCAAAGTCACGTGAACAATTAATTTTTTAAATTTTTTCTGTGGCGTTTTTCAGTTGCAAAAAAAATAATTTGCTAAAAAAATCCGCATTTCCTCGAAATTCATTCGCTAAATTCAGGGAACAAGCAGAAAACATTGGTCGCTGTCGTTCTTTGCGGGAATCATTATATTTGAGGGCATTCAGGGGGGATGATTATGTTTGAGGGCCATTGTTAAAAAATCCGAGTATGAACATTGCGCATGCATTATTATTGGCTCTGATATGCCGATACCCCTTATTCATTCGTGGATTTGGGCATTGAAAATCTCGGAATGCATCAGGAGAACATGTGTTGCTCCGAGTATTCAAGATATGTATTCTCCAGTCAGAGCCGCTGAAAGGGAAAGAATAAATGTTATAAACATAAGCCCACTTCGGGATAATTTTTTGAACTGAATATAATTAATTATTTCTGGAGAAATGACTGTTTCAGAAAAATCCAACAGATTTTGTTTTTAAAATTGAGATAAACTCTTTTTTATTTAAAAAGAAATCTGGGTGGTTTCTGTTCGCCGGATGCGCTCGAACATTTTCTGGCCCGAAATATGGCCGTCCGGCGCGCTAACTAGAACCTTCCGTGATTGACCAGTGAATGAAGGCTACTGTCGGCCGCCAATGTGCGTTCAAATGATGTATCTTTTTTAAAAAATTGAAATTTCGTGGACAGGTGACGAGTAATTTACAGGACAGTGACGTTGAATTCAATTTAGGGGGAAAAATTATGAAATTTAACATTTTTTAGCAGCAGGAACGGAGAATTCTCAAATTCACTTGAATTTTCAAGTTGAACTAGTTGAACTGAAATTTACAGTTTTTATTGATTTTTTCATAAAACTTCGAGTTTTTAGTGACCACATTCCTCAAAAATTCAGTAGCATTTTAATATGATGAAAATTCAGAAGAGGTTTATACCAAAATTCGGCCAGAAAATGAAATTTAACGGAAAATTGAGTAATTTTGCGGAGAATGACATTGAATTCGATTTACAAAAAATTTTATTGTTACTTTTTCCAAATACTTTTAAGAGTTCTGAATAGCCCGTCGCTTGAGTCATCGGAATGAACTCCTTGATCATCAAATATAGGGGAGGTTGGGGTAAAACGGACACTTTCGACTTTTTTAAAAATGTTAATGAGGGTTAAAATGTTGCTAAAATTTAATAATTTTTTTTTCAATGTAAAGAACAATTCTGTCCCTTTGTGACGAACCTAAACTGAGCTCAATTGATCAATTTGTTTCGGAGTTATGAATAATTTAAAAAAAGTCTAGTGTCCGTTTTACCCCACCCTCCCCTACTGAATTTCTCAATGAGTTCCATATAACCCATCATTATGATTTTTCAACTGAGGTATTTGCATTCATTTTTTTTTACTTTTTAACTTCCCGGCAGGGAAGTTATTTCAAATACGTTTGAGAGTTCTGAATTCAAACAAATTCGATTTACTATATTTCATGGTATATTATTCATGGTAATTTCATTTCATAGAAATTTCAGGAGAATAACATTGAATTCGGTTTAGAGAGAAAAAATGATAAAAATCTCTTGTTCAATAATCGTAAGAAAATTTATCAATGGATTTTCGAAATTAACAATCGATTGTTCAATTCCATTCTTATTTTCGCGGGGCATGCGGTCAAGTTATAACGGAAATGGCGGATGTTATGTTTGAAAAGCTGCAGTGAAAAGTAATCCTCGAGATTCAGGCGTTTTTTTCCAGTTTTAAAGATATCTTGACTGAATCAGGGATTTCCTGAAGTTCTGTAAATACTCATTGGATAATTGTAGAAATCAGTGGACCCTAATAACACCAAAATTACAGTTACCGGTGAGTTTTCCTGTTTGTTAAGGTTAGGGTTGTTCGAAGCTTGTTTGATAATAGGGGAGAATTAACTCTTTGCTGATGATTTCAGTGGAAATGGAGTCGAGGACTGAATTTAAATTGAAAAATCCACCGACAGATGCGATATCTGCGGTGGAGTTTGGTCCAAACTCCACGCAATTTCTTCTGGTGTCTTCCTGGGACTCTTCAGTGAGATTGTACGATATTCATGCAAACACAATGAGACTGAAGTATAGTCATGAGTCTCCAGTGCTCGATGTTGCCTTCCAGGTAATTATTCCCAAGAATTTCTCTTGTTTTTGCCCATTTTTTGAGGATTTTTCATATTCTTTGAAAATCCTCATCATTTTCGTTAAATTACAGAAGCAAAACGTCACAAAATCTAACAGAATGAGACTATTTTTCATACCTTTTGAATATTAAAAAATGTCAAATGTCTTGTATTGAATGTTAAATTGCCTTGATACCGAGTCATTTTAAAATAAAATTTCAGAGGGCAATTTTGTGGGGAATTTCGTCAACTGTACCAAAAATCAAGAGAAATTTTTGTTGGGAATTTGATGAGCTACAAAACGATTTCTTGATATTTCCCTCTGAAATTTCGAGATGAATGAACTATCAAGAAGAATTCATTTTTTACATCTTTAAATATTCATTTAGACAATAGATTTCTTGACGTTTTCCTCTGAAAAATGTCGACAAAATGTTCCCAAAAAATCCAATCGAATTGACCCTGTCATTTATCGTCAAACGATTCTACTTTTTTTATTCATGTATCAACCTCCAGTGGGTTATTTACAAACGTTTGGATGAATATTATATGTCAGTTTGGTTTTGCTAGTAGTCTTTTTTGGCTACAATAATTATTTAGTATTCTAGATTCTAATCTTCTAAGTTTTGATTAATTCATGTACAATTTTAATTACTTTCTAGTCTTTTGAGAACAAGAAGTGAATCTATGGTAAACGGCCTTGGACATTTGATTTTGATTAGTTGTTTCAATCGTTCTTTCTCTTCCCTTGACAATCCCAATTCGCTCCAGTGATTTGTTGTGACTCTGTTAAGGATGATCTTCACCCTTTCTGCCAAAATTCACGTTTTTTAAATTTTTCTGGCAATCTTATGATGGAATTGACGTGAAAAAATATAACGTTTTTGCGTTTTGTCATGATTTAATGACTGACGAAATTTTAAGGTGGTGCGAACATTTTCCTGCGTTTTCTCTAAACTTTTAAAAAGAATCACAAAACTGTAGAAAAAACGCATGAAAATTATCGCACCACTACGCAACTTCGTGAGCCATTAAAGAATGACAAACCACAAAATCGTTATATTTTTTCACGTCACTCCCATCGATAATTTGCCAGAAAAATGAAAACAACGTCAATTTTGGCTAAAAGGGTGTCGAACATCCTTAACCCAGACGACGAGATCTCTAGGAAGCTTCTTACCTAGATACCAGAACGATTGTATTCAGTCTTAAAATAATGTAAATGATCTTCACACTTCAGGATGCAGTCCATGCATACAGTGGTGGTCTCGACAACACCCTAAAGATGTACGACATAAATGCAAACACCCAGACCATCATGGGGACCCACGACAACGCAATTCGTAAAATTGAGTACTGCTCGACTGTAAATGCGATATTAACGGGTGGTTGGGACGCTGCAGTGAAATTATGGGACACAAGATCACCGACTTGCGTTGGCACTTACATTCAGCCCGACGTTGTTCTAGCATTGTCGGTTTGTGGGGATAAATTCGTCGTGGGAACTGCAAAGAGGAAAGTCTGCATCTGGGATCTCAGGAACATGTCTGGAATGTTCCAGAGGAGGGAGAGCAGTCTCAAGTATCAGACCAGGTGTATCAAGGGTTTTCCTAACGAACAGGTGAATAAAACGAATGAATTGGCCTTCTCCAAGCATTTTGATTCATGCTGAATAATTCAAAACGAACTTTTTTTCGTTACTTTTTATTTATTTGGAGTACTAGGGGTTACAGGAGGAAATGTCAGAGGACTTTTGTGGCTGATGAAATTTCTTATAAAATGGCTCGACTTTTTCCTCTAGAATCACTCATTGTCGAGATAGTTGACAGGATATCAATTCACACTCAACAACATATTGAAATAGAACATGAGATCTTTAATAATAACACATTTATAAAGTGAATGAATAGTTCATATTAAATTAATTTTTTTAATTCATACATTGAATTGTTAAAAATACGTTTATAAATTGACGCAGATTCTTGAGGATATTACATTGGAAAAAATGTTTGAGGTCTTCTTTCGTAATAGTGGATTGATTTGAACACCATTTTTGAAAAAATGTCAAAATAATTTTTTTGTATTTAACGACATTTTCCATAAAAATGTCTAGCAGAATGTTAATGTCTCGAAGAAATTATCGTTGTAGTAAGAGACATCGTAATACGCAAAAAATCATCTTTTTCTTTTTCCTTCTTTTTTACAATTTTCCTAATGAATTTCTCTCAGTAACATTGCCTCAATTGCGATTTTCAGGGATATGTGCTTAGTAGTATTGAGGGCAGAGTAGCAGTGGAATACCTAGACACAACGCCCGAGGCCCAAAAGAAGAAATACGCTTTCAAATGTCACAGGATAAAAGAGAACAATATCGAGTGTATTTATCCAGTGAATGCCATCAGCTTCCACTCAACGTACAACACATTTGCCACCGGTGGTTCAGACGGTTATGTCAACATCTGGGATGGCTTCAACAAGAAGAGACTGTGCCAGTTCCACAGGTACAACGCCGGCGTGGCTGCCCTCAGTTTCAGCCACGATGGCTCAGTCCTCGCTATCGGTGTGTCGTTCTTAGATCCCAATGAAAGTGCCTCGCACCAAGACGAGAAGGAAATTTACATCAGATACGTTAACGACCAGGAGACAAAACCCAAATAAAATTAGAATAACTCAGAATTTTTAATTGATGAGGAATGAAAAACATTGACGAATTTTAATCAGTGCATTTATAAGGTACAACAAATTTGGAATTGTAAAAAAATGAATTTCTAATTTATGGATGACATTGAAGGACTGGTGAATAAATAGCAGATCATTATTTCTTAAAAAATATAGATTTGATTTATTATCTTTATTTTCATCTCCAATTTCCTCAGGAATGAAATGTTAATCTCACTTTACATCGACTAAAGTTTGTAAATAATGACACGTAATTTCATAAAAATATCAAATTAATTCAATACAAGGATTATGATTGTAAAACATGAATTGAATAATTTGTGGATGACACTGAAGGGCTGTTGAATAAACCGAAGATCATCATTTTTCTAAAAAATATACATTTATTCTTTCAATGATCATCTCCAACTGTCCCACGATTAAAATATAAATCTCACTTAACATCGACTAAAGCTTGCAAACAATCACTCGTAACTCCATTAAAAAATCAAAATAATCCAATAAAAAACTCACAATAGACAAAGATACCAGAAAATGGAAAAAGACAGTTACAATTTTTACAATAAATTTATTTTGCTGAAACAATTCATGAGAGATTGTAAACATTATTGTCTAAATTCCAGTTATTTGTGTTTTCGTGTAAAAAAAAACGAGGCCATTTGAGCTGAAGGAAGCCAGGAGTATGAGCCCCAAGAGTGAATATGTAAATAATAGAACGAATTTAAACATGATCAAGACCTCTCAAACTCTCGTCTCCCCTCGAATGCAGTCTAGGATTCTCCAGTTCTCAAGGCTCTTCAACAAACCAAAAAAATCATAGTCCTCATAAATAAACCTCTTCTCTTCCCCCCCCCCCTCACCTCTTAGACTCGAATATCGATTGAATTATACTTTCTTTTCGTTTCTTTGTATTAATTAATTTTTATGTACAAATCGAACAGCCTGGGCTTCTAGCTGGGCTCTACCCAGACAAGTAGAGTCGTAGATTATCACGAATTGTGTCGTGAGTTGCGAAGGAAATGCCCACTGCCACTGGGCCCTTCACCCAGTTCATACTGAGACCTTTATAAAACGCCATGATTCCCTCCTCCCTAGAAAAAAAAATTAAATCCAGGAATTGAATAGTTTTTTTTTATTTAAATTTTTCTATTCATTTCAACAAAATTAGTTGAAAATTGGAAAAAATGAAGTCAAATATTTATTGAAATGAAAATATTTTGATAATATGACATAAATTATTTATTTCTTACAAATAAATAAATAAATCCTTCATTAAAATCGAATGATCGGTTCATTTGATTCAAATCAAGATTTATTACATGGTAATAAATTCATGCTCTTTATTTTCAAAATAATGATGTCATTTCTGATTATTAGAGTCCCCATTTGAATCAAGAAAACATTTTTTTACATTGAAAAAACTATTAATTTCATATGGAGAAAAATCAAGTTCAAATTAAAATGCAATCTCCACTAGGAGCCATTTAAAAAAAACATTTATTGGATTCGAGTAAAGTTGATTGAAGTCGAAAATCCATTCGTCTGGGTCTGAATAAAAAAATGAATGAAACTAAGAATAAAAGAAGATAAATATTGAAAGATAACACGAAAGAAAAAATGCAGTTGAATGACAAATAGAATTAAAAAAATACTAAATGCGACTCACTGATAAATTTTAACAGCAGTAGACACACTAGTGTGATAATAAGCCCCTTTAACAGCTGATGTCTGCATTCGCCTCCTGACAATGTCCAGAGGATAGCTAGCAGTCTGTCCAACAGCACCAGCAGTTGCTCCACAGAACAACAAGGTTGCCGTTGACATTCCAGGATTAATTTCTTTGTCTACTGTTCCACAAATCGATTATGATCATTTTCACCCCGAAAATGCCATGTCGTTCAAATATTCAATTTCCCAAATGCAAAAAAAAAATGTGGACATTATTTTTACGAATGAGAAGAAGGAATACTTATTACCCTTGAAATAATTCTTTAATGTGTCATAAGTGAAGAAACTGCATCCAGCGTATGGGATAACACCGAGGATTGTCGCGAAGAAGCCTCGGTAGAAGGCTAGAATACCCTCGTTTCTGTAGATTTGTACAAACACCTGACGAAGAGTTGAGTACTCGGCCTTCTGGGTCACAGCCATTCTCGCCCTCGCCATGTCAAGGGGATAGGTGAGAGTTTGGGAGGTCACACCAGCTAGGGATCCAGCCACAAGTCGATTTATCGGTTTTCTGGTGAATAATAGAACCCAAAGATGAGATTAAAAATTTTTTAATTTATTTTTATTTTTCAGAATTGATATTTGACACAAATACAACGAGAAAAAAATTAATATTGGGGATCTTCGTAATTTTCGACGTCTCACGAAAATTAATGATTTTATTACTTAAATTTTGCATAATGAATCGTTAAAAAACATTTTGAAAATCTGATATGATGAACTGATTGATAAAATGATTTAAAAATTGCAATTTTTGAAAATTATGGGTATTGTTTGTGAATAATTTGTTTTTTTTTGCGAACAATAAATTTTTCGCCATAAAAATCATTTATTCGGAATCGTAACACATTTACTCATATTCAGAATTTTACCAGAAATCGATTTCATGCCTAGAAAAATAAGGTTTCCGAAAGTTTAAACAATTTCAATTATTTATTTATAGATAAAGAATTTTTTTTAAATGATCATTCTGTGCAAACGCAATTTGATTGACAAATTTGATGTATGAAAATGGTTGAATCTATAGTATGGTCTGTATCAAACTGTAAAAGGTACTTGGATATCCTTAAGGTCAATGTGTAGTGAAATCTCATTTAGATTAAAGATTTTTCATTTTGTTTTTTCTCTTTAATATTGATGTTTGCAATTTTATGGTTTTCTAATGATATTTTAACCTGTTCTACCCCTATAAGGAATTCATTTATTAGTGATTTCATTCCCTAAACAGAAAAGAGTAGAATGCTGTCGAAAAAAAATGAATTTTTGCTCCACTGTATTTAAATGAAAGCCTTACGTGTCCGGTCCGTTAACGCGAAGTATCCTCTTCCACTGTTCGTGGGCGGCAAATTGAATGGCTGAATAAGGCACAATCCTCGCCATGGTGGCACTATTACCACGCCACAGACTCATCAATCCATCCTTTTTGTACGACTGGACTAAAAAATCAATGGCTGCTTTCTGAGAATAAGTCATTTTAGATATCTGAAAATTGATTTTTGTTCGATCTAGGGGAGCTATCACTGTCTTCGCCAGTGCTCCAGCTATTGCCCCAGCCAAGAGGCTTGTGTAGACCCTCTGGACATTGGAGATCTGTGTTTTATGGTGCTCTGTCGCCTGCAATAAAAAACTGGGCATCAAATCGATTCTTTCAAAGATAGAATTTATTTCATCTTTGAGAAAAATTCCGCAATGAAATTTCTCTAAATTGAGAGAAATAAAAAAATTGAGAAAAATATGAGAGAAACCCTCTACAAAAAATTGGTGTTGCCTTTTTTGTCTAGGAATATAAATCAGTAGTGAAGCGGTAAACCGAGTTAAGTCGATTTTGACTATTAGCCAGTTTTTGCTGAATATCTCGGAATCTAAGAGAGATAGCAAAATTTTTCTCATGACTTTTTTTATAACGCTCTATTGGCTCTACAAAAAAGGTCATGACAAAAATCTTTCTATCTCTTTTAGATTCTGAGATATTCGTCAAAAACTAGCCAATAGTAAAAATCGACTTAACCCGGTTTACCGCTTCGCTACTGAATTATATTATGAAATATATTATGAAAAAATATATAAAATATCTTTCATATATTTTATTTTTTATCTTTTTTTTTATGTTTTTCCTTTATTTTATATCTAAATATGAATATATTATGAAAAAAAATACAATTAGAAAATATCTCTTTTCAAAGAGAATAAAAAAAGATTTGTATAATCTAGAGTCTTTAGCAAAGATCAACTAATGAACTCTGTTCTAGATACTTTCTGCAGCAATCTAACTATTTTGAGACATGAAGCAATTGTTTAGTAGGAAATAAAATAACTCTAGCTGTAATAAGTCACGATAGAAATGTGACATCAAACTATATGTTCCTTTGATTGTTTATTGTTACTTATTATTTATTTATTCATATCATTATTCATTTATCCTCTTTATCATTTTCAAAAATAAATGAAAGAATAACAAATACAATGAATCACCGATTTAAATACACGCGCGAAGCGCGCGGTCCTTTTCTAGTATAGAAAAAAATCATCTGGGGAAGATTGACATTTTCAGTTTTTAAATTTTTGCAACTAATTGCATGGAAATTTTTTTTAAAAATCCATACCCAGTCAGTATTATCTAAATTAAATTTCGCAATATATTGATATTTTTTCAAACATTTCCCTCTAATAAATAAATAATAAAACTTGTTTTCAAAACAGTGGATTATTTTTTATGAGGTTTCAAAAAAATTCTTGATTTTTTCACATCTAACGAAAGAAAAAATCAGATTTTAATCTTTGATTACAATGGAAATGTTGATTTTCACATAATATACTGGCTTAAATCCTGTTTTCTAAACATTTCTTCTTTGAAAAACCAAAACGATAATTAAATTGAGAAAAACAATTAGAATTCCGAACCTAATCAAGTGTTCTGCAATTTTTTTTTGCAATTTTCAATAATTTTTGAATTTACCGTAAGAGTAGAGCTACTTTAAAAAGCCAAAAAAATTGTCGAGGGCTTGTGTTTTTCAATAAACATCCTCAACTCCTCAGTCGCCCTTTGTAGCTCGGAATTTTTATTCACCTCAGTGTCACCAGCTTTATCCTGTGTGAAATTCCCCTTGGCATTACCCGTCATGACGGACACGTGAATCCTCTCGAGGACTGCTTTGCTGCCTTCGACAGGACCAGCTGCAATTTGTCCACTCATAATATCCGATGGGATAAGAAATGGAGCTCATCCACCTCCTTGATCCCTCCTACTCGCCCTTGACTCTCTCATTCACATTCATGTGCTGGAATTAATTCAAATAAACGACTGCATTCCACCAACAAATAATGAATACCAACGACAATGAATTTTGATTACAACCACTTGTTCTGCACAGGGAGGACAAACTTTGTACCTTAAAATATGCATGTCATGGTTTTAATATGCGCTATGACGTACGGGATTTATTCCCAATGAAATCAATAATTATCTCCCTCACTGCTGATAATTGACAAATCGTGACGTTGAACATCTCTGACCGATGAATCGACTCGGTTCAATGCAATCAGAACGAAATCAGCGTGACGAGCGATGTTTTAATCATTCCTCGACAGACAAAAATTACCTGAATAACAATATCAGCAGGGGGATAGCCCCTGCGAAGCCGCAAGGAAACGCATCGAGTTTCAGAACAGGTTTTAGCTCCAGAGAGAGCCAGACAGAGATAGACACAGAGCAGAAACTAGTCTATTTATAGACCCTCCAGAAAAAATCACACCTGAGATACTTTGTTTACGTTACTCTGCACAGAATAATAACAAAATGTGCAAGCACCGGGGATTTATCGATAAGACAGTGTCGTTTGTTGCATAAGCGTGGCTTCGGGAGGTGAAAATGAAAGAATTATCAACTTGTTTACACGTTTTACCTTTCATTAATAATTGTTATTGTTCAAAGTGGATTTCATGGTTCATTTTAATGTGGTTGGGATCAATTTATTAATTGCAGAGGTGAGTACAGAACAGAAAGGAGTCTCTTTGTAGACACTTCAGCAAAAATAATATTTGAGGGAATTTTTTTCGTTTCTCTGCACAGAGTAATAGACTTGCAAAATGTGCATGCACTGGGGATTTATTGATAAGATAATATTGTTTGTTTGTTGAGTAATCTTATCTTTAGGAGGTGAAAACAAAAGCATCTTACACTTGTTCAATCGTTTTACTTTCCGTTAATTTTTGTTAACGGTGGAAAGGTATTTCATCGCTCAGTTTAAAATAATAGCAATCAATTAATTGATTATTGCTCATCTGTGCACACACGACAATTAACAGTTGAGTGTAAAAATGCAGAGGCCACATTGTTGGAAAATAAATTTATCCTATTCAATCTGTTGTCGTTTTTTAATTTAATTTCTAATGGATCTTTGACGACCTCGTGCTGACAACATCTGAGAGTACGATGTTTGCGTTTCTCTGCACTGAATAATAGATTCTCGCACAATGTTGATGCTCTGGGGATTTTTTGATAAGATAATGTTATTTGTTTGTTTGTTGAATAATAATGTCTTCACGAGGTGAAAACAAAAGAATCTTACAATTGGTCAATTGTTTTACTTTCCTTTAATTTTTGTTAATATTGGAAATGTATTTCAACGCTCATTTTAAAATGATTGCAGTCAATTAATTAATTATTGCTCATTTGTGCGCACAGGACAATTACTCTTAGGGTCCCTCAAATGGAACGTATGCGTAAACTAGAAATTTAAAGTTAAATGTAAAAGTCGCAGAGGCCACATTGTTGGAAAATAAATTTATTTTATTCAATCTGTTGTCGTTTTTTAATTTAATTTCTAATGGATCTTTGACGACCTCGTGCTGACAACATCTGAGAGTCTATGTTTGCCTTTCTCTGCACTGAATAATAGATTCTCACACAATGTTGATGCTCTGGGGATTTTTTGATAAGATAATGTTATTTGTTTGTTTGTTGAATAATAATGTCTTCACGAGGTGAAAACAAAAGAATCTTACAATTGTTCAATTGTTTTACTTTCCATTAATTTTTGTTAATATTGGAAATGTATTTCATCGCTCATTTTAAAATGATTGCAGTCAATTAATTAATTATTGTTCATCTGTGCACACAGAAAATTACTCTTAGGGTATCTCAAACAAAATGATGTGAACGTGAATAACACGAATATTGAAGCTATTCAATCTGCTGTCATTTTCTAAATTAATTTAAATTGTCATTTTTTAAATTCAATTTCTAATAGATCTTGCCTCTCTCAGGCTGCCAACTACCCGAAAATACTCCGTTTTTACGGAGAATACTATGTTTACGCACACTAAAATAGGAAACAAATAATAAAATAAGGAAAATAAATTCACCCATACAAACAAAATGAAAAGGCGAATAACAATGTTGAAGCTATTCAACGCGTCATCGTGTGTTAAATGTTATTCCTGATACATCTTTGACGATATCACGCCGATAGTAGTGATCTTTGATAGGTGAGTGACCCTCCCCCTTCTATTTTTAGATCCTCAATGAATATCAGACAAGTCGGCGATATTAGGACGGAAGAGGACGATTGAAAAATGGAGCTGTTTAGACATTGAATAGTTCTAAACGTGTGATCCTCAGCGATTATTACACGTGAATTACAAGACAGATGTGGCCTTGCTCCGCAAACGGGTCATTACATATTCATTCGATGATACAGCGTAAAATGCGAAAACGTTTGGGGATCCTAAACAACTAATCGGGGTACGCAGAAGGTAAAATGCAGTGTGAAGGGTAATTTTCAGGGCAAAGAAGACGGTTCCGCTATTATTCCTCGCGATTTATTTGAGCTGAAGGGAATGCAGGGTGAAGATAAAAATAGAGAATGCATTCGGGGGGCAGTGGAGGTGGAAACTACCAGCACCAATGTTGATCTTGGACGTTAATTGAATAAGAACGAGCAAATATTTGTCTTTGGATTATTCGTTTGGAGTTGTTCAATGTTTAGTTTTGAGATGATTGTGTGTATTTCCGGATGGATTAACGTCATGAGTTCACGAGGTCCATTTTCGGTGTATTTTTACTTATTTCAGACAATGGCTTGGGCAACGCGGCGCATGAAACGTCAATTCAACTCACAATCCACTCACCTGAACTGATAATAATTGAAATGACTAATCAACAATTAGGAGGACTGGTAGGTAATTTATTTCTCCTTTAATCATTCGCCTGCGTAATGAGCCTGGACTATCAATTGCGGAATCTATTTCTTAGACATGAATATGGAGGGTGTCAAGTGTCCATTCTGCCCCACACCGAGAGAACACACGTTGTCAAACAAGTCTTGTTTGTCCCAACAAAATCGGTAGTTGAACATGGCCAAAAAAGAATTCGTTTCGTTCGAATTTAAAAGTCTCAAACATGAATAATTGTTCTGCTTTCGACAGCAACGAAATGTTTGGCTGAAGAGGCGGATAATTCATAGGATCACAGGATGAAAATATCTCATATAGGGGAGGCTGGGGTAAAACGGAGACTTTTGACTTTTTTAAAAATGTTAATGAGGGGTTGAAATGTTGATATAATTTAATAATTTTTTTTTTTCAATACAAAGAACAATTCTTTCCCTTTGTGACGAGCCTAAACTGAGCTCAATTGATCAATTTGTTTCTGAGTTTTGAATAATTAAAAAAAGTCTAAATTGTCCGTTTTACCCCACCCTCCCCTAGACGAAAGTTTATCAACAAATCAGTAGCGAAGTGGTAAAAGGAGATGAGTCAATTTTGACTATTGACCAGTTTTCAGTCAATATCTCGGAATCTAAGGGAGATAGCGAAATTTTCGTAATCACATTTTTTGTAGCACTCAATCGGCTCCACAAAAAATGTTGTAATCAAAATTTTGCTATCTCCCTTAGATTTGGAAATATTCCTCAAAAACTCAACTGCGGGATGAGTCGACTTATTTCCGTTTACCACTTCACTACTGAAATATTTTATCCCTAAGTTACAAGATTGCTATCATATCATTATTGTTGTTTCATTCGTTGTCTGTGATTATTAGACAGCCGAAACGAAAAAACTACTATCCCTTGTTTCGCATAAAACAAAGATTTTTCGGGAGCAAAATACGTATGGGAGTATCGAATAACGAAGGAGTAGTGCTAGAAATGACATTGCTTGCGTGTACAGAGAATGCATTTTTCTTCAACTACTAAATCTATTTTTGCGACAAAAATTTTTCATTCCGGTGCACTCCCTGTATGTTTGGCACAAAAAATTCCGTTTTTGATAATTTTCTTGGCACAAGTGAGACTTGTTTGAGAACCTTGTCGTTTTTCTCTCAGTGCAGCCGTGCAGAGAGTCAATTAAACACGCCGGGGGGAACGAAAATTGAGAGATGCCTCAATCCATCAATAATCAGCTTCACACATGCCATCACGAAACAGTCACGCGACGATTACCGTAACAACTGGCTGATTCTAATTACCTTAAATTACTCGAGAGTCGCGAACGTCCTTACCCCCCATTCGGACCGATTCCCCGACGAATCACATTATTAAAATTATATTCGCTAACTGCGTAGGAACTGTGAACGTCTCTGACGCCCCACGTGCCCCCAGAAAACCGAAAAATCGAGCGGATTGGGACGGATTCTCGCCCCGAAGAGGTGAAAAAAAGGTTTATGGGTGACTTGGAGACTAGCCAAATGACAAATCATTACCTTTGTTCGACGTTCTGGGCGGACAGGGCTCCCTATCCCTTCGAGAGACGGTGACACCTCATTATGCACTCAATTAACACTAACACTTTATCGCTCTGTTCTCCTCGGCTCTGGTTCGATAATGAGAAAAATCTTTGGATCACATTGAAATACGTCACCAGCTGATAAACACAAAAGGTTGGGGTGGACTTTTTGAGCCTGCGCGGGACCCTCACACAACGAGAGCAGACACACGACTGCACACGACTGACGAGTGTGAGCACAACTGGAGTGTTTTCGTTGGTTTTTGCGCGGGGGGGGGAGGTTACCTTGAGCAGCTCGTTGATTATTTGACTGGTGTAGAGTGATAAATCGGTGGTATTTGGAGATTTATACTTTTTCGAAGACGTGGACACAATTTTTTGAAGGATTGACCCGAAATAGTTTATGTGAAGTAAAGAAACACGTATAAATCCAGCGATATCTCCCGTCTCAATGATACGATTTGTATGAATCAAAATTCATTTTCAAGACTGAAAAAATACCTTGAAAATGAAAGAAAAGTCGGGGGAATTCACTCTGCCAATCTCGAGCAATTCGTGATTGAAAACTTGTTGTTTTGTCGGTCTGTTGAGGACTTTGAGGTTAAATTCAATGTTTTGGTTGTTTTTTTTTTTGGAGGGGGTGAAGACAGGTGGGGATAACATCAGGTGGAGATAGGTCTCCTCTGACACGTACGAAAGTGCATCAGACGTGAACTGGAGGCTTGGAGCTGGAGAAATGGTGAGGTTATTCAATTTTTTTATTTTAGGGAATTGAAGATTGAGAGTGGCTCTTTCAATTACTTTGGGTGTTTTTTCAGGCGAGGTACTTCCGGGAACAGGATATCGATGGTGAGAAGTTTGTTGATGGGAATGGGTGTAGCTGGTAACTGTTTTTTTTCGATTGAAGTGATAAGAGGTTCTCTTTGTTAGAGTTTCGTGAGTGCTTCTATCTGTTCGCTCGCAGTGGGCAAATCAAGACGCTGGATGAGCTCACGATTATCATGAGGTCCTTGGGGCTGAGTCCCACTATTGCGGAGTTGAATAAATATCTGAAGGACAAGAGTGAGTTTTTGACGTGTTTGGGGGACTCGAGGGAGGGGAAATGAGAGAGAAGGTGGTGAGGTAACAGCCAGTTTTAACAAATTGGAAATTTCTGACTGTGAGGTGCAATTTTGACGAAGGCAATTAGGGGGCCTTCGGAAGATCGTCTAAACGGTTTTCTGCGCCAATTATGATTGCTCAGTGGTACTTTTCGGTCCCTGTTGGGATGGTGAAGGCTCAGTGCCTCGGAGAGTTTGGGTCCAATGTCCAACTTGACCATCCACACCCATGAAGCCAAACTTTTATCAATTTTTTTGACAATTTTTTTGTCCAGGGAATGAAGTCACTAATAAATAATCGCTTAGGGGAGGTTGGGGTAAAACGGACACTTGACTTTTTATAAAATGCTAATGATTAATTAAATCATTAATGATCGCTAATGACTAATTATTTTTTTAAACATTCCTTGTTTACAAATAAATAATTGAAATTGTTTAAACTCTCGGAAATCTAATTTTTTTAGGCACAAAATCGATTTTTGGTTAAATTCTGGATATGACTAAATTTGTTACGATTCCGAACAAATTATTTTTATGGGGGAAAATTTGATGTTTATGAATTATTTACAGAAAATGCTCGTAACTTTAAAAAAATGCAATTTTAAGATTATTTCATCAACCTCCCTCTAAACGTTGATTTCCCAATTTTTTTGCAGATTTTTAAAATGTTTTTTATCGTTTCAATATCGAAATTCAAATTTAGACTTGCAAAGTTTAAATGATAAAATCATTGTAAAAATACATACCCATTAAATCATATAAATCATATCATATATAGTCATAAAATCATTGTAAAAATATATAATTATTACAAAGTCCTTGGATATCCTTCAGGATTTTTCAAAACGTTCCTCGTCTCGTCATGTTTTTGTTGAGTATTCTATAATTTACGGGGGTATTCCACAATCTCTCTTTGATGTGGGGAATTTTATTCATCCTTCCACTGCATTCCTGTTTCCATTTTCATAATGACCATTTTCATCAGGTAAATATTAATTTCATCAATAACTCCAGATGGAAAGATGTCATTCGCCGATTTCCTCGAGGTGATGCACCTCCAGACACAAGCGGAGGACCTTCCCAGGGAGGTAATCGAGGCATTCCGGGCTGGTGATGCCTCCAGATGTGGGACAATACCAGCCAGGCAATTAGCGCACATGCTCCTTAATTGGGGCGAGCGATTGAGCAACAAAGAAGGTGTTTATCCCCACTTTCGCCTCTCTCACACACCAAAAACATCAATTCAAACACTCAATCATTGTTGTCCTGTTGATTTACAGTCGAGCAAATATTCCGAGAGGCCAATGTCTCCCTCAATGGTCACGTGAAGTACGAGGACTTCGTCAAGATCGCCTGTGCACCAGTACCTGACTACTACTAACAATAAACGAAGAAAATTCTTCATTCTCTCTCCAACAGATTGAGAATTGATGGGCAAAGCCGGAGAATTGAAAATATCAAGGGCCTGATAACTTATCAAACGTCAGACTAAAAATTTATACAAAAAAAAATCTTTCTCTATTCAACTGAATTCAAATAAAAATAATTATAATGAAATAACTGGACAATTGCATTCAGCCATTTACCAAACTCGTAATTTATTTTTTTAATTTATTTTCTGTAGGTTTTTGTCTGTACGTTTCTCTTCGTAGAGACCCATAACATCAATTCAAACACTCAACCATTATTGTACGTTTGACTTACACTCGAGCAAATATTTCGAGAGACCGATGTCTCCCTCAATTTTCACGTAAAGTACGAGGACTTCGTAAAGATCTCCTGTGCACCATTACTTGACTACAACTATCAATAAACGAAGAAAATTCTTCATCTCCTCCCCAACAGATTGAGAATTGATTGATAATTTCTCAAACGTCAGACTAAAAATTTACACAAAGAAAATTCTCTCTATTTAATTGAAGTCAAAAATAATTATGATGGAATAACTAGACAATTGCATTGAGTCATTTACCAAACTCGTAATTAATTTTTTTAATTAATTTTCTGTAGGTTTTGTCTGTACGTTTCTCTTTGTAGAGACCCATAACATCAATTCAAACACTCAACCATTATTGTACGTTTGACTTACACTCGAGCAAATATTTCGAGAGACCAATGTCTCCCTCAGTGGTCAAGGGAAGTACGAGGACTTCGTAAAGATCGTCTGTGCACCAGTACTTGACTACTACTGACAATAAATGAAGAAAATTCTTCATTCTTTCCCCAACAGATTGAGAATTCTGTAGTGAAGTGGTAAACTTGGATAAGTTAAAAAATGGAACTTTCTCAGGGGAGTTAAAAAATTTGACAACGTTCGAGAGAACTTTCGATTCAAGCAACAGAATTTTTTTCAAAAATATTTGACTTGTTCTAGTTTACCACTTCACTACAGAGTTAATGGTCAAAGCTGGGGAATTAAAAATATCAAGGGCCCGATAACAGAAAATTCTCTCTCACTTGAATAGTATTCAAATAAAAATTATAATCGTCATGAGATAACTGGACAATTGTATTCAGCCATTTATCAAGCTCGTAATTTATTTTTCAAATTAAATTTTTTAATTGAAATGTCAATCACGGAAAATCCTCGGGAAAAAGTTTCAGTATCCCTCAGCTCGTGAATAATGGAGGTTCTATTATTACTCACCATATTTCTCGACGTACATATGGCTGTGGGATGGAATCAGAATATTCCACGTAAGTGATCAACCATTTCGGGGTAATCCTGTTGATTTAGACATTTTCTTTCATACGCGAGTATGATCCAAATTATATTTACCAACGTGTGAGTCTTTTTCAAACATCTTATAAATGAATACCTAATTGAAGAAGAATGGAAATCGATTCGAACGCCGAAAATCTATTTTTTATCATAAAATTTGTTTTTGAAATCATTTTGAATGTGAAGAAATTAATCACGAATCTGAAGCAATTATTCCGGAGTCATTGAATTTTTCAACTGAATTGCATTTAAATTACATGACTTGATTAAATACATTCTCATAAAAAATTGAAAATTAAAATGAAAAATGCCATAACCGATGTTGACGGTTTTCCAGAAGCTGAATTAATTAATTAATGAAAATTAAAAATTAAATTAAATTGAATTAAATTAGCTAATTAATTGATTAAAAATGCAAATTAAAAATAACATAACGTCGGATTTTCCAATGAAATAGCATTTAAATTACCCGACTTGATAGAATCCATTCTCATCAAAAATTCAAAATTAAAATGAATAATACCATAACGAATGTTGATGGTTTTCCAGAAGCTAAATTAAATAATTTGTTGTATTCAATGAAAGAAGACGGGACATAACAAATAAAATGGTAGAGGGATACGCAACAAATTAATGAAAATTAAAAATAAAATTAAATAAAATGAAATTGAATTAAATTAGCTAACTAATTAATGAAAAATGCAAATTAAAAATAACAACGTCGGATTTTCCAACGAAGTAGCATCTAAATTCCCCGACTTGCTAGAATCCATTCTCATAAAAAATTAAAAATAAAAATGAATAATACCATAACGAATGTTGATGGTTTTCCAGAAGCTAAATTAAATAATTTATTGTATTCAATGAAAGAAGACGGGACACAACAAATAAAATGGTAGAGGGACACGCAACAAATTAATGAAAATTAAAAATAAAATTAAATAAAATGAAATTGAATTAAATTAGCTAACTAATTAATGAAACATGCAAATTAAAAATAACAACGTCGGATTTTCCAATGAAGTAGCATCTAAATTCCCCGACTTGCTAGAATCCATTCTCATAAAAAATTAAAAATAAAAATGAAAAATGCCGTAACGAATGTTGACGGTTTTCCAGAAGCTCCTCGACCACCGAAACCGCAATTCTCGCTGCTGTCACCAGTGCAAAAATTCTTTTCCCTGCTGAAGCCAGCGCAGAAGTATCCCCCAGCCCCCGTGGGTCAATTTCCACCTGCAATCAGGAACAATCCCCCGAGTGAGGACGACCTCAGCCCCTTCAACGACGATTGGCTCGATTACGACTTCGGCAACGATTTATGGGAGACGAAGCCAAAACCAGAAAGCCCGAACTGTGTTTCGACAGCAATGGTAGCCAGTGGATTAACAGCGGTCATTCTTTTGTCGATCTTCACTCTCATAGTCAAAGTGATTCCCTCTTTCTTCGCGCCGACGTTAACGTCACCCCTTCAAATGCTTGCGAATGCCGCCGTTGAGTCGTGGATGCCCGTGAAAAAATACACGCCTCCTAATGTCATCCACAATTACGCCTGGCCACCGGGGAGATATTCCGGGGGTTGGCCGAGTGCTCGAGAGGATTTAAGATACGGGGGGAGTAATCCGTACTTGAATGCACCTCGGGGGCGATACTCACCCTTCAGAAGAGCGGAAAACAGTCCGGATTACCAGTGATTATTCGAAGAAGAAATAAATTATGAGACGAAGACATTGATTTGAAGCTTCTGTATTCTAATCTCAACCCATTTAGTTGTTCACTTTGATAGAAAAATTGCGTAATTCTATTGAATTTTTATTGGAAAATTCACGGCGATGGCTGCACGCAGAGCAAGAGCGATTATCGTTTTCTCAATCTTCACTTCGATGCTTAAATTTATCTCCCCTTCGCATGCTGGACGCAGGATTGACCTCATTTTGGAAATTGGATGGGTGCTCGAGGGAATGGGAAAGGGGGGAAAAATGACTATTTTAATGCACCCCGGGGACGGGGTAAATTAGTATTTTAATGCATCCCTCCCTTCTGAAGATTCCAAAATAAAGATTCCCAGTAATAATTTTATACGAAATAAACCATGAGGTGAAGACATTGACTCGACACTTCTGTACCCCAATATTGATCTAATATTTTTCTAATATTGATCGATTTTATTGCTGCGTTTAATCCTAGATGAGTCTTTTTCATCGATGTTTACATCGAACTTGACGATTATTGAGGAGAAACTTGATGATATTTTTGGGGGAGAACTTCAGCGCTTCTTCGATGCGTCTTCGCACGGATGAAAAAGTTTAATAGAAAAACCTAGCGAATTCGCTGAACAATTCAATTCTATTGGATTTCTATTGAACTTTCTATCAGTTTTTGGCTGATTCTATTGAATATTTTCTACTAAACAATTCAATAGAATCTGCCATAGACTAATAGAAAGTTCAATAGAAATCAAATAGAATTTTCTAACGGATTCGCTAGGTTTTTCTATTAAATTTTGAGGGCGCACCCTAGAGTATGCGTACTTTAATGAATTCCGGGGATGATCCTTATTGTCAGTGATGCAAAGATTATAATAAAGTTGTAATTCAATAATTTAATAGTAAAGAATAATAAAAAATGAATAATGATGAATAATCAATAATAATAAAATAATAATTTTCCAAAAAATAAACCATGAGCTAAAGACACTGATTCAACGCTTCTGTATTCTAATGTCGATCGATTTTATTGTTGCGTTTAATCCTTAACGTGACGCAGAATGAATTATGAATATGTGTGAGATCCTAGATAAGTCTTTTTCATTGATATTTACATCGAACTTGAAGATTATTGACGAGAACCTTGATGATATTTTTGGGGGAGCACTTCAGCCCTTCTTCGCTCCGTCTTCGATGGTGGGAGCACCGCAGAGGATCACCGCAGTGCTGATGGCAGTCGTTAGGAAGAAGACGCAGAGCAATGCACGATCGCTCACCAGGGCCACCTGCTTCCACTCCAATTCTGCTTGCTCACGTCTGTCTTGGTCGGTCAATCTCCTCTCGTTTCGCTCGATTGTCGCGTGTACACGTGTGAGAATGCGCGACCAGTGGAGCTCGAGGCTCGTTTCTGCCCCTAGGTCTGTTCGATTCGTTGCATTGATTAATTTATTTTGATTTCGGGGACTTCCCAGGGGGCGGGGGACGGGGGGCTCACCTATGCTGGAACTGCTGTTGTTACTGCCCGTACGGCTTGTTACTATTTTTGGAGACGCCTGCTGCAACTCCATAGAGCAGTGAAGTGGACAGCCTTGTCTTCTTCTTGCTGATTGAGTCGATTCTCGATTCCAAGTTGAAGTTGACTCTTTCTTAATTCAGTATAATAATTCATCATTTAATTGATTACCTGAATTTTTCGGAGTAGTATTTTTTCATCAGTGAATATCAAATTGAGAATTTTTAATGACGAAATTCATTGAAATTCATTGAAGTTTCAGTGAAGTTTCGGTGAAACTGGTATTTTTATGAGAATTTTCAAGAAGTCTACCGGAAATGTCAACCAAAAATTTGTAATCGTCGGGATTTGTACACAATTTTTTAAAGTAGTGAAGATGAAAGTCAAATAAAAAATCTCTTAATTATTAAATTTTGTTTTATATCCAATATTCTCTACCCAATTCTCATACTTCATCACGTTATTTTCAATAAGAAAATTCATGCGACAATCCAATCGACTATTAGAAGAATTGGGATAAAAGTTTAAGGGGTAATTCACCTGTTTAAAATTGAAAAACAGAATTTTTCCTAATTTTCGCAAAACAAGGCATTTGAGAAAAGCTGGAACTCCTGTCCACGAAATTGTTATTTTTATGAGAATTTTCAAGAAATCTATCGGAAATTTCAAGCAAATATTTATAATTTTCGGGTTTTGTATACAATTTTGTAAATTACTAAAGATGGAAATCAAATAAAAAATATTACTCTTAATCATTGAATTTGTTTTTATATCCAATATTCTCTACCCAATTCTCATACTTCATCACTTTATTTTCAATAAGAAAATTCATGCAGCAATCCAGTCGACTATTAGAATAATTGGCATAAAGGTTCAAGGGGTAATTCACCTGTTTAAAATTGAAAAACAGAATTTTTCCTAATTTTCGCAAAACCAGGCATTTGAGAAAAGCTGGAACTCCTGTCCACGAAATTGTTATTTTTATGAGAATTTTCAAGAAATCTATCGGAAATTTCAAGCAAATATTTATAATTTTCGGGTTTTGTATACAATTTTGTAAATTACTAAAGATGGAAATCAAATAAAAAATATTACTCTTAATCATTGAATTTGTTTTTATATCCAATATTCTCTACCCAATTCTCATACTTCATCACTTTATTTTCAATAAGAAAATTCATGCAGCAATCCAGTCGACTATTAGAATAATTGGCATAAAGGTTCAAGGGGTAATTCACCTGTTTAAAATTGAAAAACAGAATTTTTCCTAATTTTCGCAAAACCAGGCATTTGAGAAAAGCTGGAACTCCTGTCCACGAAATTGTTATTTTTATGAGAATTTTCAAGAAATCTATCGGAAATTTCAAGCAAATATTTATAATTTTCGGGTTTTGTATACAATTTTGTAAATTACTAAAGATGGAAATCAAATAAAAAATATTACTCTTAATCATTGAATTTGTTTTTATATCCAATATTCTCTACCCAATTCTCATACTTCATCACTTTATTTTCAATAAGAAAATTCATGCAGCAATCCAGTCGACTATTAGAATAATTGTCATAAAGGTTCAAGGGGTAATTCACCTGTTTAAAATTGAAAAACAGAATTTTTCCTAATTTTCGCAAAACCAGGGATTTGAGGAAAGCCGGAACCCCTGTCCCACGAACCCCTCGATGATGAAGATTGAGGGTGACCACTGCCAGACCGGAGGCAAAAGATACCAGGCAGATACTCACTCCGTAGTAGAGACCTTCAAGCAGAAATTTTTCATTAGAAATTACCAACGTTATTCCACAGCCCAATGATTCTTCCACATTCAGCATTTCACCGGGGGAGAACGGGAGTTCGTTGTGCACACGAGATCCGCCTGTAAACGGTACTTTGAAGTGGGGATGATAAATTTGCTGGCCATTACTGTGGATTTTTCGTTCTGTTTGTGTTGCGTATTTGCTTGGGTCAACTGTCCCTTTGAGACAACTTTCTTTCTGTGGAAATGTAAATTTTGGTGGATGTTTTATTCTCGGGATTTTATTTTTGTTCATAAAAAAATTGGAAATTCATTTTTACATTTTCTCCTGTCGAAGCCATTTTCAAAGTATTTATCACCATCACAGAAATTTGGAGAGATTTTATTAATTGAGATGAATTTTTTAAATTCAAATTTTCAGGCTTTTTGACATTGTAGGATTTTTAATAAAAATTCCTCAACTAACTAAATTCAATGCATTTTTTCTAGTAAATTATTGATCAACTTATGTAGCGTAAAAATAAACTTATCTATTCATTTAACAGAAATCTATTTTTGCATGAGTTTTTCTAAATTATTCTATTCAATTTTCTATTTTAATGAATTAAGAAAACGTAAAAAATGGTAAGAAATGTAGAAAATAGAACAGCTAAAAAATTACAGTTATTGAATTTTCGTACCTTCTCTTACAAATAAATGGTGAATTTTTCAACTCTAGAAATTAATTTTTTAAATTTCACGACAGAAATAACCATTTTCGAATAAACATTCCGAAAAAAGCTCATTTCTCGCAGAATGTAATCGATGCATGAATTTTCCCCATTGACTCAATGAGAAAATTGAATGATTGTCAATCCCTAAAGCTCCCCTACTCTCGAATATCAAACTCCCCGTCAATACTCACTGATGAGTGGAGTTTTCTCAGTAGGCGGTAGAGTTTCCCTTATAGTCATCAGAAAAACAGTCATCGAGAGTAGCGCGGAGATCCCCAGAGTGACTTTTTCCCCCGATTCGGATGGCACGTAAAAGACCAGAAGCGCTGAATCAACAGAACAGACGAGAAACTATTTAAAAAATCCCTCCAGAAACATTACGATACAGCGAACTACCCCCAATCGTCTATTTGTGTAAATGAAGGAGCGAGAGGAGAGCAACACGTTGTGCTTCTTCTCAAATGCATTAATTTCACCGAGTTCTTGTTCTCACCTGGCTGATTTTAGAATTACCACAGACATTAGTTCTCCGGGTTTTGCTGTAATGAAATTCAAAGCCCCACTCTACCACCAGCCACATCCGGCGTTAACGAGTTTATCAGCTCCTTCATTCCACTTTTATCCATCTCAAAAAAGAAAGTTACGTGGCTTCAAGGGTAGTCTTTTATTACAACACTTGTTCCCTTCCTCATCTTTTACATTTCCAACAAAAAGGGGGATTAGAATAACAATGGGAGGGAGCAATGCACATTCGAGAGAACTATAAATCAGGGAAATGGACGAATGGGAGAATGGGGACCTAGTTGGATTTTTTTCTTCAGTTTTTTAAGCTCAAGTTCATGCCTTTCGTGTCTCTCAAATTAAATTGAAAAATTACACTCAAGTACGACTGATTCTTCCATCAATTCATGAATTAGCTGAAGTGTATTCCAGTTGAAGAGTGACAGAGTAGAATAATTTCATAGAAAGACCTAGCGCATTCGATAGAAAATTATATTATGGTGTTGGCCGATTTTGTTGGAAAATTCCGTAGCTTCATTGCGCATTCCTTTTAATTGGAAATGTCCAATAGTTCTTTTGTAGACAAGATTAGTAGAATTTTATTTTAATACACAAATTTTTCTGATGAGACATTTTCGATAGGAATTTCTCGACATAAAATTTTCAAGTTTTTTTCACTATATTTTCCTTCTCATTTCATAAAAAAAAGAAGCGAAAAATTGGGTCAACGAATTTCTATAGAAAATATCTCAATAAAGTAACTTGTATAGAAAAATCAAATTCTATTAATTTTTTATATAGAATATTTTTCCATTGGACATTTCTACTGAAAAAAGTGCACAAATATGCTGCGAAAAAAAGCGAAAAACTGGGTCAACGAATTTCTGTAGAATATACCTGAAAAAAATAACTTGTATAGAAAAAGCTAATTTTATTGATTTTTTCTACAAAATATTTTTTCATTGTACATTCCTACTGAAAAAAATGCACAAATATGCTGCGAAAAAAAAGCGAAAAACTGGGTCAACGAATTTCTGTAGAAAATATCTAAATAAAATAACTTGTACAGATAAATCTAATTCTATTGATTTTTTCTATGGAATATTCTTCCATTGGACATTTCTACTGAAAGAAATGCACAAATATGCTGCAAATTAAAAAAAAAGAAAATTCAATAGAAGTCCAACCGAATTTTCTAACGAATTCGCTAGGTTTTTCCGTAAAAATATTTTTGCACGTGGAATGAACATGCAAATAAAAAAAAAATTTCATGCTAGTTCTCAGTGAGAAAAAAAGTAAATAAAATATGACATGATAAAGTGGTAAACGAGTTGTTCATAAAAAGAGAATTTTCCGGACAAATGCAGACAGAGAAATGACGCATTTAAATGCAAAAAACTCATCGTTTGAAATTTTTCTGTTCATTTAAACAATATTTTTCTCGGTCATATTTAAATGCGATTTGTTCGATGCGAATGAAACGCGAATAAAAGTCAAGTTCAAGCTTGAATGAAATAAATTTTATTTTTATGAAGAAGCTCATTCATGTTTAATAAAAAGAGTATAAAGTAGCGAAGTATGGGAGAGTTAAATATAAAATGAGATACTCAACCAATTCCGTTGATCAATATACACGGCAAAATCAAGTTGAAGACGTAGAACATGGGTCGACGTCTCAGTCTAATCTCGTAGGTGATGTCTGGATAAGGCTCGGTGCAGCACGAGTAGTACTGCACATTACGTTGTGCGGTAAAATCAACGAGATCAAATTCACCGTTCGCCTGATAGTTGCTCACATCCCCTTGTTCGCTCTGGCGCTCTAATTCCAGCTTTAAAAAATTTTTTGAGAAGATAATCGCATTATTTATGCCGTCAGTTTCAGGGAAATGGTACTCATCTCGTATTTTATTTGCGCTGAATTTTTATCATTGCTTCTCTTGCATTCGGTTGAATGAAAAATTGTGACTAAAAAGTATTCTTATGCGATGGAAAAAAAGCTTTTATTTGGGAGAATAATTGAGTTTATTTCACTCGGAGGTGAAAAATTGAACATCGATATTTCTCGTTTCTAGTATTGATAGAAAAATTGATGCGCATGGGAAGTGGGGGACCATTGACAAATGGAGATGAAGATTTTTTTAAGCAAAACGACATCCACATGAGAGTTCGGACAATACCTTTTATTGAAAATATCTGCATTGTGATATCATGATGCAGATTATTTTCAATTGATTAAAACTTCTTGATTTTTTATTATTATTTTTATCGTGGTCTTAACGGAATGAATAGCAAAATTAAATTAAATAGCTCTCTTATTTCATTGTGATTTCAAAAAATAAAAAAATCAGAATTAAATATTTTCGTAAATTCTCGTACTTCATTTCGAAATGAAAAATTCAAGAACATCGATATTTTTCGTTTCCAGTAATGATAGGAAAATCCTTGAAATTCGTGAATGGGAAAATTAAATTAAAAAGCTCTCTAGTTTCATCGTGATTTCAAAAAATAAAAAAATCCGAATTTAATATGTTTGTGGATTTTCGTATTTCATTCGGAAATAAAAAATGAACAACACCGATATTTTTCGTTTCCAGTCTTGATAGGAGAATTCTTGAATGGGAAAATCAAATTAAAAGGCTCTCTAATTCCATCGTGCTTTCAAAAAATAAAAAAAATACGAATTTAATATTTTCGTAAATTCTCGTATTTCATTTGGAAATGAAAAATTCCGCAACATCGATATTTTTCGTTTTCAGTATTGGCAGAAAAATTCTGGAAATTCTTGAATAGGAAAATTAAATTAAATAGCCCCCTGATTAGATCGTGATTTCAAAAAATAAAAAAAATACGAATTAAATATTTTCGTAAATTCTCCCATTTCATTCGAAAATAAAAAATTCAACAGCATCGATATTTTTCGTTTCCAGTATTGATGAGAAATTTGATGCGCAATAGAATTCGAAATTGGTGTACCATTGACACCTGAAAAAGAAGAATTGTAAAGCAAAAATGACATGCACGTTGAGTTAGACGTGTGAACGTGTGTAGAGCCATTTCCGAGTGGTTATTCAGGTCTCTCCTATCCATTTGGGATTAAGCTATACAATCCCGGTGAGATGCTCCCTTTTCGGCGGGTTTGACGAGTAAATTTTCCCATTTCACTTACATAAAGAGCTCAGAATTAGGGGGAAAAAAGTTTTCCCTGATCTAATTTAATGATGTATCCCCCGGGAGGAAGGGGCAGAGAGGTGGTAGAAGAATTCATCCAACTTCCGCTGAAAAAAAAACAAGGGGTCTGGCGAAGAGGAGGGGATTGTTTACTGAAGAATTAGGGAAGATGCAATCAATCGAATTTCCCTTATCTCAGAATCAACGAGGGGGTGGAAGCGCTAGTAGAGACCCGCAGAATTTTCTCTCGCCTCGGTGATACTCCAAAGGAGCCTCTTATCGCTTCAGCTCTTTCGTTTAAAACTTAAATGAAGTAGGAAAATTTCCACTGCAACCCTCTCGTTACACCAAGTGGCGATAGAGCCGTTTTACGAGACTGGGAGGACGTGAAAACATGGAATTACGATTTTTTTGCGGGGCATAAACATCAGGTGCCCGGGGATTGAGGTGATGAGGTGCTTTGCTTCCGAATGGAAATTTGTAATAATTCAATTCATTTGAGTTTTTGATTTTTTGTGTGATATCGACCCAGTATGTTCCAAAAAGTCTGAAAATGCAATTTCAGATGCAATTTTTCAGACTTTTATGAGTGTGTACGTATGTAGCAGTTTTCCTTCAATTGTTCGCAAATGAATGGATGGAATTGATTTTTTATTTGTCAAATGTAGGTATTGTTGAGCCCTATCGATCGCCATTAATTAAAACTTAATTCATCGATTAGTTTTTTGAATTTCCAAAGTTTTCGAAAATCGGTTGTCCCGCGATAACTAAACAAAAAATGTTCTGAATTGATTGAATGATGGGAAAATTTGTTTGGATGTCCTTTTGACAACAATCGTTATTCTGATTTATTTGAAAATTTGTTTCCGCCTTCGGCTCGGGCTGCAAACTCATATTCGCCAGGAAAGTTTTTTTCAGCCAACACTGTTAAGAATTTTTGTCTGAATTTTCAGGTATACTTTTTGGAAATTTTTATTGAATTCAACTACCACTGAAATTTCAAGGAATTTCGTCATTGAAAATTCAGAACTTCGTGGAAAAATCTGAAAATAAATAGAAAACCAGAAAATTCTGGTGAATATATTTTTAAATTTTCAGGACAGTGACACTGAATGCGATTTAGGAGGAAAAAATCATGAAATTTCAGATTTCATTGAAAGTTCAATGTAATTTGGCACTGAATATTCATATTAGATTGGAAATTCAAATAAATTAAGGGATTCTCGTCTTTAGGCTGTTTAAAATTCTGGAATTTTACTGAATTTTCAGTGAAACTTGAAATTTCATGATTTTTTCCCCTTAATCGCATTCAGTGTCACTGTCCTGAAAATAAGTAGTCAATTGTCCATGAAATTTCATTTTTTTCTAACAGTGTAACGACAAAATATAGGGGAGAGTAGGGTAAAATGGACACTAGACTTTTTTTAAATTATTCATAACGCAGAAACAAATGTATCAATAGAGCTCAGTTTAGGCTCATCAGAAAGGGAAAGAATTGTTCTTTGTATGTAAAAAAATGATTACATTCCGTCAACATTTCAATCCGTCCCTAATATTAAAAAAAAAAGTCAAAAGTGTCCATTTTACCTCAACTTCCCCTACTGTTGTTTTTCTCAGTGTAGCCACAATAGAACTCTCATTTTTTATTCATTTTTTTACTGCTCATGTTATTGGCGAGAACAAGAAATGTAAAACGATGGCGATCATTTGGGGATGCAATTTGCCGGAAGGATCTCGAGGGGATCTCGGCATACTACAGAGTTGGAGAAATTGTTCTGCGGATAAGCTGGGGAACCGCTGGAGTTTACGATCGTTGAATGAACGAATTAAATATGGTGATGGGTGGAAATTGAGTGATTGGAGGTGATAAGAAATTGTTTGAAAGGGGGAAAATTTGTTTATCGTACCTGGTAACCGTCGTAGGTCCACGATGCCCATTTTAATGCACAAGTCTGTACGTCGAAGGGAAAGAACTCGACGTCGATGTTGCAACTGCTTCGGAATATTCCGTGGCTCAACCACACGACTTCACCTGTGTGACTCACGATGACATTTGTGTTTATCACGGCAGAACTGTATTGGGGGTCTGCACTGAGAGGAAATGGAACATTTATGGGAATAGATAGTTGATTGATTGAATTTTTCGTAAACAATGAGGGTAAAAATGATTGGATTTATTTAATGTACGAATAAATTCACGATTGAATTTTGTTTGGGGAGAAAAGAGATCATGAGGAAAAACACAAACATTCAGGAATAAAGCACCCGGAATTTCTTCATTTCTATTAATTTTCAGGAAATAATTGAACTGAAATTGACAGTTTCCACAGATTTTTCCATAAAATTGTGAACTTCGAATGATTATCAATTTCTTATGACGAAATTCATGCACATTTTAGCAGTAATTTTCAGGAGGACGATATCAAATGCATTTGATATCGTTTGGAAGACGAAAATTCTCTAACTTCTTCAACAACTCAATTAAAACGTAAATATTCAGTGCCGAATTCCGTAAAATTTTCAATAAATCGAAATTTGAACAAAATATTTGCCTGAATTTCCTCGCCTCCTATTAATCTTCGTGAAATAATGTCCTCGAAAATGCCAAGAGGGAGCATTCAATTACGTCACGATATCATGACTCCTCCCTCGTTTAAATGACAAATCAAATGAAAAAATAGGAATTAAAAAGAAAAATCAGAAAAAAATCGAGTACTTTACATGACGCAATTGTTGAATGCTCCCAGAGATGTATTCGATCGTCTAATTTATCATCTGAAAATGAACAAAATGATCACGAATATTCGTACTTGTTATAAAGAATAGTATCCGGCCTCCAGACTCGATTGTAAGGGACCCGAATCACTTGTATCCCCGCAAACTCGGAGACATTCCACCTGAGATGATGATCCGTCCAGATTTGCGTCAGCCAGCAATTCGTTGTGAGAATCTGATTCTTCTCGTCCTGCAGCAATTATCTATTTTAATTAAACGCACAGTGGGATGGGTAATCCCACCGAATTAATGAATCCCACTGATTTCGTGACTAATTACAATCCGGGAATTTACCACGTCGATGATGTGATGAAGCGAGAGACCGAAAATAACAACCAGCGGTTGCGATGAGTTCTTGGCAGGTCTGACACCCGCATCGTAGCCCTCGAGGAGGTGTTTCGTTAAGCGATACTCCTGTTCGGAACATGAGGCTGGTGGAAAAATTGGAAATGATTCTGTGATGAGAATTGCCGATTAAATCCTGAGATTAAAATCATTCAGTGCAGTTTCACGAAACTTAATTCAACAATCGGAATTTTAATTGAGTTTTATGGTGATTTACTTCTCCATTGAAATATTGAAACATTTAATTTTTCAAGTACATTTGAGTTCCATAAACAATTTAACTCTCCAATGTGGAATTTCTGCTGTAGTTTTAATTTAATTAAAAATTGTAATGCTGTGGATGTTGCTCTCACATTGTTAATCTTTCCATTTAAATTACTTGATTGAGCCAAAATCAAATAGATTTTATAATATAGAAATTCCCATCAACAATCAGAATTTTAATTACATATTACGTTGATTTAGTTCTCCATTCAAACGTTCAATTTGCAATTACATCTGACAGAGAGAACAATTACACCTCAAGTACAAAATTTAGGCAATTTAATTGAAAGTTGTGATGCAGTGAAAATCCAAATTGTACAAGAGTCCTGCGCGTCTCTCCCTTCAAATCGTTATATTGATTTATTTGAAAATTTGAAAGATTTTGTGTTGTTTGAAAATAAAAATGCCTCAAATGAATTCAATCATAGCTTAAAATCTTTTTGCATCATTTGAATTCACTGCAATTTCACGAAATTTAATTCAACAATCAGAATTTTAATTGAGTTTTATGGTGATTTATTTCTCCACTAAAATATTGAAACATTTAATTTTTCAAGTACATTTGAGTGAGTTCCATAAACAAGTAACACTGCGGGCTTCAATTTAACTCCCCAATGTGGAATTTCTGCTGTAGTTTTAATTTAATTAAAAATTGTAATGCTGTGGATGTTGCTCTCACATTGTTAATCTTTCCATTTAAATCACTTGATTGAGTCAAAATCAAATAGATTTTATCACATGAAAATTCCCATCAACAATCAGAATTTTAATTACATATTACGTTGATTTATTTCTCCATTCAAACGTTCAATTTGCAATTTCACCTGACAGAGAGAACAATTACACCTCAGGAACAAAAATTAGGCAATTCAATTGAAAATTATGATGTAGTAAAAATGAAAATTGCACACCTCTCCCTTGAAATCAATTAATTGATTAAAAAATCATTGGAATCATGAACCGCAATAATTAAACGCAATGTATTTCGTAAAAAGGACGAAAACCATGATAACTGGACATAAAAGACAGGACATAATCATTCAGTGACTATTGTGGAGACATTGCTGAGGCTTCACCCAATATCATCCCCCCAGTTACCTCATTCACTGGCCAGACAAAAAAAAACACCCTCCACTGACTGATTCTTTTACGTAAAAAAATAAAACCTGATAAAAATGAGAATAAGAATAAGATTCAGAGGGAAGAGAAAAATATGGGGAAAGTGTAACTCAATTCCCCATCGTCCTGCTGCTCTCTCACCAATCAGGCGAGTTATTTTTCAAGATACCATCTCCTGTCTTTTCTCTCACTGGTGTAAATCGAAAAGAAAAAAGTCCCATTCGGTTGTAAGACACCTGTCGATGCTGCTCGTGGCACATTCGTTGGTAAACCTTTCGAGTGTGGTATATAAAATCCTCTCATACGTTGTTTCAATACAGTTTTCACCGTGTGTGATGTAGAAAATATTCTCAAACAAAATGTTTGCTGAATAAAACAAGAGCCGATACTCCTTTTTATTCCCCGAGCGTTGGAAACTGCGATTAAATGCAACTGGGTTTATTCCTTCATCGTATCGGTTAAAAAGTGATATTAAATGTGGGGAAGGATTGAGAATTGTTTAATCTAACGGAAAATTTTTACGTCCGAAGTGAGGATGACACGCGTGAGAGCTTGCGAAAGGAGCGGGATAAATTTTTATCCCAACGAAAATGGAAATTGTAAAATGGAAAAATTGTTCAAACAAAAACTTTTTTATTCAGAAATCAGAATAATACATTTGCAACATCGCATTAACTCGTTCTGCGAGAAAAACAACTGTGATAAGATTAAATAACATCATGTGTTCTCTATTCCACTGATTACAAAGTGAAAATTGAGTCTGAAATGAAGAAAATATTCAATGGAAATTTCCTTTGGTTGAATAATGAAATATTTTGAGAATTAACAGATACATATAAAATATTTTATCATGAGAGAATAGCCTTTAATAGAATAAAAAATGAGTAAATTTTAATTCTAAAATCCTTCAAAAAATAAATCTTCAATTAAAAAATGGAAATGGCACTTGTTAGGAATAAGAATAATACTTGTTGCAACATCGAATTGATTCGTTCTGCGTGAATGAAACTGTGATAAGATTAAATAACATCATGTTTTCTCTATTTCGCTGATTACAAAGTGAAAATTGAGTCTGAAATGAAGAAAATATTCAATGGAAATTTCCTTTGGTTGAATAATGGAAGTAATATTTTGAGAATTAACAGATGCATATAAAATATTTTATCATGAGAGAACAGTCTTTAATAGAATACAAAAAGAGTAAATTTTAATTCTAAAATACTTCAAGAAAACAACCTTCAATTAAAAAATGAAAATGGCACTTGTTAGAATTAATTTAAAAATACAGAAACTGTACATTTCGACAATTTCGTCAATTGAAAATTAGATGAAATCAATTTAAAAAATAAATATCATGAGAAAATCTCCTTTGATAGAATAAAACAGCGAATGGGTTTCAATTCTAGAAACGTTTTAAATGAATCAACAATAAAAAATGAGGAACAGAGAAGTATTCAATCGAAAATTTCGTCAATGCAGGAATAAAAATAGCACTCGTTAGAATCAAGAATTAACGAGCTCAGCGAAAAATAGTCTATTAAAAAAAATTGATACGAAATGTTGGAGCTGGTCACGGTCGAATGAAACTTTTCATAAGCCGTCAAATTGGTTAACTCGATAGTTGAACGGGCGTCCGAGGGGTGAAGGTGTACTAAAGGGCCGGCAAGGGCTAGTGGACGTTAGGTGGACAGTTCCCTGAATATGCAAATCGTGAGAATTTCCAATGGCAAAATGCCCTATGGCAACAGACCCGGAGGTTTACAAGGTGCAATGTGTCTATATCTTGATCCAATTAAGAGGCTTTTCTCCATCGTGATAATGGGTGTTTGATATAAGGGATGATTCAATGGATTACATCAAGCTCGAGATCTCCCAATTTTTTTCTACATTTAATTTTTTTTCTAAAAAATTTCACTGATTATTGATGTCATTGATTTTAAAAAATCAATTTCACTGTTTTTTTTATGAAGAAAAAATCTTGCGAACATCATATCGAAGTTCAATTAGTCAAGAAATTTGATTCCAACAATTATATATTCCCCCCCCCCCTATTTTTCTATTCAAGGATTCTAAATTGAATGAAGTTCTTTCACTAAAAAATTAATTTCCCAAATCGCGTGTTACGATCCTGAATTAATTAGTTCTGTTTAGAAAAATCTATGATGAGATGGAACACTGCGTCAATTTTTTTCATTCTACTGATTAAAAATTGAAAATGAAATTTCTGAAATAACGAAAATGTTCGATTGATGATTTCTTCAGTTAAAATTCAAAATTGAACATTTTCGAAAAAAAAAATTAATCTTTCGAAGGTCATATCGAAGTTTAATAAATCAGGACAATTGATTCCAACAATTATATACCCCCCCCCCC